TCGATCATACGGTATATTAATATCAACTTCCCAGCGCTATCAGATGGGGCGGACCGTACGCGCGGAGCCTCCGCGCGGTTGTTTTTTCAATATAGCTCATCCGGACGGAACATACGCGACCCATGTGAAATCGTTCATATAAACTCATGGTACTTGCTCGAAGTCGCGAACGCTCCGCTCCATCTGAAAACGCTGTGACAGCGCTTTCAGATGAAGCGGAGCGTCCGCGCGGATATTTTTTCAAGATAGCTTATCCGGACGGAGCATACGCGACCCATGGGAAATTGTTCATTTAAACTCATGATATTGTTTCAAGATAGCCGTCGACGATCTCAAAGAGCGAAAATACGAGATATATTTTTATAAATACACTTTTTAAAGTCTTAGTAGCAATCAGGGGCGCATATACGGGAGGGGTAATGGGGGTAATTACCCCTCCCAGAAAGAAATTAATTAATAAGATAAAATTTGGTATAAAATAAAATTGTTACAAAAAAGTTAATACTACAAATTAAAACAGAATATCCAAACCAATCTAAGTAGATTTTTTTCCACAGTTACAATACCTTCCAGCAAAAATTTAATTCAAATTTAGTACTTTTTTGAATATTCACACTACCCCTCCCAGACTCAATCTCTAGATGCGCCACTGGTAGCAATATTAATAATATATGAAATTCAAATAATTCGTTTTCTCACCAATGGAAATAAATTGTCTGACTGACACTTAATGGCAAAGGAAGCTAGAATAAAATCAAGAAAAATGTACGTTTTCAAACTCAATCTTAAATAACTTAAAAACGATTTATTTTAGGTATAGGAACATGTATGGTTAAAAAGTAACGAATTGAAAAATCTTTTCACTAGTGAGATAAAAAAAAGTGGATTTCCATTTGAAAAAAAATTATGACAATTTTTAATCGCTCAATTTCATGACAACTACGGCCATTATTATGCCTTCTATTAGGCCATATATGTCTTCTATTTATGTCACAGTAGCTGTGGTAATCACAAAATTTGACTTTTAGGCTATACAAATTTTTGTTAGGTATAGAGTATTTAACATCAATATTCATTGAATTTTAAAGATAATTTAAATATGTACTAAAAAATGGGGGCACCCATTTAAAATGAGAAAGTTGCTGTCAACTTCCGGTATTTCCGGAAGTGCCGCCATATTGAAAATAGCTTTAATAGATAGATCCCGTTGTAAAACAATGATGTGCAAAAAATCTCCGTTCCAGATATTGTGGTTCTAGGGTATAGCATACGATCGGAGAAACACGGTGTCTCGGTGGCATTTCAAATGATAATCGACGATAATTGTTATCGGATCGAACCCTCCAGTTATTTATAAATTGACAAAAATTTAAATAATAACTTGTTAAAAATTATACTATTTGATATACACTTCCCAACAAAAAAATCCACCAATATGACAGTATGATATCCTTTTTATATCATCATTTTATATGTGAAAATATATGGGAAATGTCACCGATCGTTATTTTCGTTTTTTTTTCGGGATCCCGAAATCCCGAATGTAGAGTATGAGTTAATAAAAATTAATCATTTGCAAAAATATGCCGATATACAACTGTATTTTATTTATATTTTTCCAATTGTATGTATACTTATATTCACTTACAGCGCTTTCAGATGGAGCGGCGGGTCCGCGACGGACCGTCCGTCATGTTTTTTTCAAGATAGCCGTCGGACGGAGCATACGCGACCATGTGAAATTGTTCATATAAACTCATGGTACTTGCTCGAAGTCGCGGACGCTCCGCTCCATCTGAAAACGCTGTTACACAGTATATAAACAAATAAATACATATCGTCCACTAAATAATCTTTTTATTACTATAAAATAAATAATACGTACCAATACCAATATGTATTAACGAATCAAGGCACGGGGGATTTATTTTAATAAGATAACCCTGTAATTACAAAAAAAATGTTATCAAGCGTTTTGAGGATATATTTATAAATATATAACAAAATTTATACGACTATAATCAGATTTATATGGAAATTTTCCAATATTTTTCGTCATATTCTCTTCAACACATGTAATTTTTTTTATATATGCAGGCGCGTGGGAATTTATAAAATTCTATTTTAATTTTTAGATTATTTAACAATACAAAATATAAGCACTTTATTATATCAGTTTATTTTACATTTAACATGTCAATGTCTATACATATAAACAAGTTAGGGGATATGCGATGCGGAGTATGATTCCAATGACAGAATCTATGGCAGTGACAATTGTTATAGGTACCGATCTGGTCATCCAAACTGCGTGGTCGGGATTTTACCGTGTAAGACAGTGATGTAGACAGCTTAATGGAAAATTAAATGTATTGAAAAGAGATAAAAGTTAGGTTGCGGTATTGCCGGATTTTGCGTCAACATTTCAAACCGCCCAAGTTGGTGTTTACAGAATATGTTGCATCTTTGGTTGGAACTTTATTCTTCACAATTAGCTACTCGCTTTACTAGAGCTATAATAGATTCTTAAACAGCTGTCTAACAGAAATGAGCATTATTGAATACCTTAGATATATTATCTTCGCTTATTATTTTATTTCTCGTACGTACCGACAACACTGTATGCCGCTTTTAATTTTGTCTTTTTCTGTGTGTCAACTGGTCGTATATATTTATATCTGTCGTTTGCATTAAAGTACAGACCACGGAAATAAAGGGACCAGGACTGGTTATTATTTGTGAGGTTCAAGTTAACGTGTCCTTTCTGCTGCAATGGCTAAGCTGGACAGGACCTACTTGTTTACGCGGAATCCGAACCGCGGCCATATCATGGTCAATGGCCTACCGACTTAGGAAGTGTCTAAATTAACTCTTACTCAGGAGATATCCGATCTCATCCGGCCTTGAACCGGCGTGAATGAGCAGTGTGTATCAATAGATTTTACACTTTTCCCTTTTGGACAACAGCACGATGCAAAGTTTCGAACCGGTCACCCGTCCATCCACTAGCATCGCCTTACGTCGCTTAACTTCGGTGTTCTAATGGGAACCGGTGTTTCAACGTAGCTGGGCCATTGCCCGTTAGTTATTATAGTTCAGTCATTGGGGATTTTTGCTTGGAAAAAAGTCCAGAAGTTTTGTCCCTAACTAAAATCCATAAAATGCACATTTTCAGACTTGCCGCCGGCGCCGCCATCTTACCACGATGGCGCCCAAAATCGGTATTTTGTGAATATCTCGAAAACTATGTGTTTTTCGCGAAAATTTAAGGAGAGCAAAATTAAAGAGGATAAAAGTTCCTATAAAAAAGGTTTTAAGAAAATTTTCGCTAAAGTCAACCGTTTAGGCACAAAATCCCTGGAAATACAATTACAATTTTGCGTAAAATATGATATGAAACAGTGGCGTATCATTAATTCGCTCATTAATTTATGAATAATTAATTTTAATTATTGAAAATGTGTAGTTGTTTCCACACCACCCAAGAGATAAAGCACATGGCGCGTTTATTTTAACGTGGTCTCCCCGGAGGCCTACTCCACTAGGTGAATTAAAAACTTAACTTATCTGCACAAGCTCGACGGATCTGGCTCATTGATGTCAAAGTCGATCGTGTCTTCTGTGCTGGGCTCATCAGGGTGGTCTCTCAATACGTCCAACTCTTCATCTTCAGCCGCCAGAGGGATATCTAGAGGCAAATCCAACCCCTCTTCATCGCATTCGTCGAGTGACACTTCAGTGACGTTGTCACAGGATTTCCCATTGCAGTATGCACAAATCATTGAACATTTTAATCCTGTTTTTCTGCATCCGCAGGCATTCGTGGCTTTACCACAGTTGTTGGTTTTGCATTTACAGGATAAAAATGCCACTAGGGATTTTGGAGCTGCTGGATCTTTCAACGTTGTGACTGGAGTAATGCCTGTTTTTGTTTTCTTCCGACCCTATTCTTCGGCATATTTGGTACAACCAGATCAATGCTGAACCTGGTGGTACGTTCGCAATGAATGCTGTCCAACACGGCAATTAATTCTTCATAAATTAATGAGCGAATTAATGATACGCCACTGTTTCATGACAAAATTGAAAAAACTAAACTAAAACTAGTTTTAGTGAACACTAATCGACATTTGATTTCGGAAAATCGACTATAGTATGTATATCATACTTTACGCAAAATTGTAAACTTTCCAAGGATTTTGATCCCCATTGACTGAACTATTATTTGTAGATTTAACCAGAGGAGAAAACCATCGGGTGAAATATTTACCAATATTTTAACAGATAAAGGAAATACCGATTTGGTCATTTTAGAAGTGTGGTCTGGATTTTAACGTGTAAGACAGTGATGTAGGCAGCTTAATGGAAAATCTAATGTATTAAAAAGAGATAAAAGTTGGGTGATACATTTCTTCTACTGCCGGATTTTGCATCAAAAGTTCAAACCGCACAAGTAGGCGTTTATGGAAAATGTTGCATCTAGGGTTGGAACCTTATTTTTCACAATTAGTTACTCATTTTACTACAGATGTAATAGATTATATTTAGCTTAGATATATTATCTTCATTTCAGTAATATACATGAATTTTTTTAAAATAGTTTATTTTTTTCTACACAAATTTGCCTACAAACGTTAAAACCGGCAACACCGTATGCCGCTTTTGATTTTGTTTATCTGTCTGTCAACCGGTCATTTTTATTATTCTCTGTCTTACACGTTAAAATCCAAACTACACTTCTAAAATGACCAAATCGGTATGTCGTTCGAAATATTTGTGCCCAGCGTAATGGCACAATTTACGGTGGTAATAGTAATGATAATGATGAAAAATTCTTATTTTTCTTATAAACATAAATCAAAATCACGCGCAAAATTTTATATTTTTTTTTTATTCGCAAATGTCGCTAATGTGTAGACAAAGGTGTGTTTATTAGCGAACAAAACTTTGAATGCTATTGTGGTAGGAATAATATCAATTTAATATCTTTTCTCTTTTAGGGATAACGCAAGGGGCTGAATACACCAACGGAGACGCATTGGAGGGCGACATAGACGCCGACATGGAACAGGAAGAAGAGCCCATTCTGCAGCTCGAGTTCGTCGATGACATCCATCAGGCTTCCATGCTCAAGTCCCTCAACATGATGAGGAAGAACCGTCACTTTTCTGACGTCATCCTTCACGTATGTGCCTGGCTGTACAATGATATCAATTTTGCCAACTGCATTATGGCACAGTTGAAAGTAACTGATACAGAAAGCAGATCATATGGATATAAAACTTTTAGCGCTAATATTTGAATCGTCGACTGTGCAAAATGCTTGGCAAAATTTATTATCGTATACGGTCAGTTACACTACTGGGCTGCTCAAATTCGTCAATATTGAAATTAATTATAACCAGTAGTGAGTAGTTTTTAAGTAATTTTTTAATGTAGATAGACGTAGCTTTTGATATTGTTTCACATGATTTGAATTTATGTACGTATTGGAAACATTGTGTCGTTTAGCCTTTTAAATTAACAGTAATATAATGTGATTCGCGGGATGTTAATTTTTTATTGGTTACAGTCTGGGCTATAGTTAAAGATGACAGTAACACTAATAACGATGGATATGATTGAATAAAGAACATTCTAATGATATGGTTTGTTGGGTAAAGATGTTGCATATTAATATCATACTATAATCGTAATTTAGTGGTTGAGGTTTTTATATATTTCCTAATTGACTTTAAATAGCATACAACTTTAACTTCAACGGTGTATTTGTGGTATGAAATATCTTATGATTGGAAAAAAAATGGTGTCAAAGACGGCTGGCGTCAATCTGAGGTAAATCTCTAGACGTCATTTACTAAAAATTTACATAAAACATGTAGAAAATTAACACTATTATTTGTAGGAGGATTAAAGATGAATAAAACGTTTCCAAACCCAGAATTCCAGGAAAAAATCGTGAAACCCCAGAAAAAATCGTTTTTTCAGAATTTTTTCACGATTTTTAAACTATACAAAAATAAATTACAGCCGTAAGTATATATGATCTAGGACTACAACCTTCTTAAAGCCAACTGGCAGTAAGCACCATTAAAAAATGGTATACGGGCCAAGAAAATGACGTCTAGGGCTTGACCTCGCAGAAATTAACATGTATTGTTATTCCCCAGCTGTCTTTGATGCCGTTTTTTTTTCGATCGTATGGTACAATCTTTTAACAGAAGTCTAAAGCCGCGTATAAATATGCCGAGGCAAGTACGAGACAAACCCGAAACGAGTATGAAACGAGGCTATAGCAAATTCTTTCCAAAAGGCGTACTAATATGCCGAGACGAGGACGAGACGAGTCAACCTCAAGCGGAATTCATCATATTATAGCCTCGAGCCGAGCGATTTAGCCTCGAGCAGAGTCCCTGCCCAGTCGAACGGCGTTGTCTCGCGGCTATCCATTTTCAGTGGAGCCTTTGGCGAACCCACAAAATTCTTCATAGGGCTGTGCGATACTGAGGCAGTATCGATATTTTGGTATCGGTTGTATTGAATATAAAGTATCGATACTTTAAAATATTGATAAATATATTAAAGTATTATTCGATACCATTCAATATTTTAAAAAATTAATTAATAAATTTAAGTATAATGTGTTTTTTAATTGGATTAGGATCGAAAAAAATCAACAGAAGTCCTTTGTTTTAAATTTGTCGACGTTTCGCAAAATTTATTTGCATCTTCAGGACACTACAAAGTTAAGAGAGCAAAATACAATCAAAAAATTTTAAAAATTTAACAAACAACTTAAAACACATATCAGTGGAATTCCACACATACACAATTGGTAAAACTACCCTAATGTTAACAATTAAATAAAATATATGTATATGTTATAAACTTAAGATCGCTTGTAAATAAAAATAATAAGGGATAGGGCCAGAATATAATCAGGATATTTTCTTATTCGCATTTAACGAAAAAAATCGACGATGGTGGCACTGTTTTATACAAAAAACTACCCGGATCAGAACTAAATCAGTCATCAAACGATCTCAAATTACTAAAAGCACTTGGAAGAAAATGATAAAACACTTAACCTAGGGTTGGCAACTTTGAAAATAAAAAATAGGGGCGAGAGGATAAAAAAAGGCACAGGCGAAACATTTTTGAAACGTCGCTCAAATGTCGAGAATTTACCAAAAAGTTATATAAACGGTATGCGATAAATATTTAAAATACACAAAAATATTTATACTCAAAACTTATTAAAATAAAGCAAACCATTGTCAACAAACTTTTTTTCAAGACATAAACTAACAGTAAGTAAACATAAAATTACATAAAAGACACAGATTAACAATTCTTTAAAGCATTGTGGCGATAAACGAATATTTTTTAGATTTTGAAGTTAGTATGTAACAAAGTTTTCAATACGTGAGAGAAAAGAGGACAATCAGATCAAAAAGAGGACTGTTTCTGGAATAGAGGACGGTTGGGAACCCTATTTTAACCCCCTGTAGCTACGAATCAAAGCAGAATTGGATTGGTTGATATAAAAAATAAATCTTATTTTTACGTGAGGAACTTCCCCACGAGAGATGGAACATGTTTTTTGAAACACCCTGTATATGTTTGTTTAATTTCAAAATAGGTAAAAAAACAAGCTAGATAAATTAAAGGAATTCATGATAAATTTAAATTATATTCGGACTGTTTACATTAAAAAAAACTGGAGAACGCCGACTGAGATACCTGGAGATAACGGCACTGGCAGAAGGCTCCGCCGCCGCCGCTGCCGTGCCGTTTTTTTGAGTCTTTAATTATTTTATTCTTATATTCTATTTCTTATAATATATTTTGTATGTGGTTTGTATATCTATAAAATTTTTAATAGAGTAACAGCGCTTTCAGATGGAGCGGACCGTACGCGCAGAGCGTCCGCACGGATGCTTTTTCAAGATAGCTCATCCGGACGGAGCATACGCGACCCAGGTGAAATTGTTCATATAAGCTCATGGTACTTGCTCGAAGTCGCGGACGGTCCGTCGAGGACGCTCCGTTCCATCTGAAAGCGCTGTAAGATAAGACCCAATTCGACTTATTTATTTAAAAAATTAGAAATTTAAGTAATTAAGATTTAAATTATTAATTTAAATCTACATTTAAATGCCAATAACTAACCTGGAACATATATTGTAAATAATATATCTGCATTTCTTCATTTCTAAAGTTGTATATTTTTTCAAGGTATTCAATTCGCCACATTATTATTCTATGGCTTTCCATCATTGCAGCACGCTTATTAATAATTTTTAAAATATTATTATGTATATAATTTTAAATCTAATTCCCAGTTTTTTAAACCTTCGCCGTAATGTGCTTTCTGAACAGGGTTTTTTTAAAGCTCGGAGAGTTTTTTTTTAATTATTTCTATGGCGGGAACTTTATTATTTTCATATTTGCCATAAATTAAGTTTCTTAGTAGTCTGGATAGTTCAAATTTCTGGATTTTTCTATATCGAATCGTTCCTTTCTTTGTCGATTCCCTTTATTTATGAGAGTACCGTAAGGAACTTCTGAGAGCATGGCCACCTTTTTCAACACACTCGATTTGCCTCTCTTATCTTCTATGTATCCTATATGTAAAGAAGCTTGTTTTACATCTTTAATTCCGTTCAGCAGAAATAGCGCATAATTTACGTTTGAGCCGTTAATAACTCGACGAAAAGTTCATTACGTTTATTCATTTTTCATAAAATTTTCATGTTTTTATAAAAGAAATCACTAATAAATCTTTGTATATGAGATTTACCTACTTTGGCTAACTTACCTATACTATTTTAGAGAAGACAAAATTGCATCTTTCTAGTTAGGATGCATTATTAACATTATTACAAATAAAGGAAAGAATATTTATTTTTATATAAAAATGGGATGTGGAACCGAGCCCCTTGAGACTCGAGGCAATTGTTCCGCGGAGCCGCGGTGTATACGCCACTGGTTAAATAGACGCCCCAATCCTTTTGATGGTTCGCCAAAGGCTCCGGAAAAAACGGAGACAACGCCGTCCGGCTGGGCATAGGCTCGGCTCGAAGCTCAGACCCCGTCCCAATATGACGAGTCAACCTCAAATCCGCTTGAGGTTGACTCGTCTCGGGTATCTCTCGCACTCGTCTCGACATATTTATACGCAGCTAAAGGTATACTTAATAAAAAAATAACGATCTAATACTGGTAGTACACATAAAACAGAACAGTTATTTTTCTTAAAAAATACCACAGTTCAATTCTAAAGGATGGAAATTCTGTAGAACTGTTAATAATTTGTTGTTTAAAATATTTCTTAAAATATCTATATTATGTTCTTTATTCAATACTTCCAACATTTCATTGACACAGGTCCTCATTGGTATTGGAATATGGCTATATTCTGTATGATATCTCAATTTCTTTATGAAGCAGCATGCAAGTAAACCATCCAATATCATTTTCTGCTATATTTTTAGTTTTATTTTTAAACGATATAAATAGTTAAATAAATATTGCAAATTTTCTACTTATTGATGACATGTTTGCATGTCGTCATCATCAGGATAAAAAAAACTGACAAATGACAGAATTAGACTACTTACTTAGAGTTAGTTTAAAGCTTTAAAGTAATATAAAATCGATATATATATATATATATATATATATATATATATATATATATATATATATATATATATATATATATATATATATATATATATATATATATTTTTTTTATTTAATTTTTCTTGGCTTTTTAGTCAGGTAAAAATGAGAAAACGGTTTTTTATATTAAATATTTCATGACGTTTCGACCTGGTATTTATTACTTGAACGTAGATTGTTTACTTATTACAACTTTATCATTTTCATTCTGAAATCTTAGCGAAGAAAATATATCCAAATTGGTTTCCACACACATAACACAAACATATCAATAAAGTCGTCACAATTTTTGCCAAGAGACATACACATTTAATGGATTTTACAACACTGATCAGTGTTGTAAATTTGGATATATTTTCTTCGCTAAGATTTCAGAATGAAAATGATAAAGTTGTAATAAGTAAACAATCTACGTTCAAGTAATAAATTTTGATAAAGACCCTACCAGGTCGAAACGTCATGAAATATTTAATATAAAAAACCCGTTTTTCTCATTTTTACCTGACCTAAAGCCAAGAAAAAATTAAATAAAATATATATCGAGAGGTCAAAGAAAACCGCACCCGTAAAAACCGGCAACACTGTATCGGTCGCACCGGCTTCTCGCCGGCCCCTTTTGATGCTGTCTCTCTGTCTGTCAACCGGTCATTTATATTATTCTCTGTCTTACACGTTAAAATCCTATACACAGTAATCAAATGACCAGGTCGGTATATATATATATATATATGTTATTCAAGAAAATGAACTTCTCGTGCGAATAGCAGATTATGTATTAAACAGTTTTGATATATCAATATTTTTTTTAAATGCTGAAGAATTTATTAAAGTTTGTTATTCTTTTTAATTTGCTTTTTATGTACTGAATATTTTTTTTTAATCACTTTTAGGTATATGTGGATATCCAGGCTGTAATAAATAAATCATAACATTTTACAATGCTTCCTAATGTATATAATGTAATACTGTATTTTCTAAACTTTATCTATTTACAGAAGATATGAGCCATATTAGATGACGGTAATTTTTTAATTATTTTTAACCTAGTTTCCTGTATTTTTTTTTTTCAAAGAAACTGGTCAGTTACTAAGGTCACAACTTATTTTTTGTCACTATCAAATTTACATATATTTTTCATGTACTTTTCTCTCTTTTTTTCTGAGATAAATAGAATAGTGTTTTTACATGAATGCCTATTTCATGTCTGTTTTTTTTTGTCTCTAAATAGGTTGGTAATATGGAGCTCCATGCACATAGGGCAGTATTGGCTAGTGCCTCTCCTTATCTTTTTGAGCTGTTCACAGCTGATCAAGATCAAAATCAACAGAGACTGGAAAACATCATCACTTACAAGTTGAATGGGGGGTTTGATCCACAAGCTTTGCGTGTACTCATCGATTATGCTTATACTGCTAAGCTTGTCGTCAAATATACTCAGGTACAAAACAGCAATTCTTTTTAATATCTGATGGATGTATAAATTTAAATATAAAATAATTGATGAATTAAAACCGCTGTGTTATTTTATAGGTTAAAGCTGTGTTTTTAGCAGCATGTCACCTAAAAATGGAGAGAGTAGTGAAAAACTGCGGAAAGCATTTAATAAAACACCTGTCTGTGGATAATTGTATTGAAATCAGATCTCTGCCTGGTATTGCCAAAAACAAAGATTTTATTCAACAAATCGATACCTTCATCTCCAAAAACGTGAGTATAATTAAATGTTTTAAATTTTTAACTAAGTAAATATCTGAATTTCTAGTAGCAATATATGTATAGGTATTTCAGGGCTATGAATTACTTACAAGAATTAATCAGTAACATTTTTTAATATTTAAATGTTATACACTGCTAAAACCATGCTTTAAATCTGTTACAGTTCTTAGAGATAGTCAAAAGCAATCATCTTCTGAACCTGTACTGCGCTAAAATTGAAGTACTGAACCAATCAAAAGAAGAAATGTCCTTCGTGAATCAAAGCTCTCTATGCCGCCTGGTACTAGAGTGGATCAAGCGCCAAATCAGCGACGATTTGCTCGACAAGAACGCCCTAGTCGAAAAGACGTTCATGCTGTACCTGGCCATCGACAATTCCTTGCAAGACTGTTCCAGTTTGCCCTCGGGTGACATAAGCGACACTGAAATCGTCCAAGATTACAAGAAGCTGTCACTTAAGAACACAACGGTCTCGAATAAGATGAAGAAAAAGACTTTGAGTCAGCCCTCAAAGCCGAGAGTGTTAATTTATAACAGAGAGATTGGTGAGGAGTTGGAGAACGAAGTGGAACCGGATTGGAACTTGATTGCGTCAGAGAGTGTGGGAGAGCACAGTTTCCTCGCTCTAGTTACTTTAGCTGGGAAATTGGCTACCCTTTCCATTCAATTAAGGTAAGTGTTTAACCACTGAATAAAAATATTAAGGAAGAATATACTATTTTTATATCCAAATATTAAAGAAAGACATACTTGACCTCATGAAAATACCATCTTTTGTCAGTTTTGGTCGACGCACAGTGATGCCGAAAACGTGAAAAGTGGCAAAAAATAATTTCTCAACTTACTACTACTTATTTTAAAATTATTTTTGTTAAATGTGGTTTTCTAAGTATATAAGTGATGTTTTGAATTCAGAAAATTGAATTATGTATACAGAGTGTACAATTAGCTGTAAAAAATAAAAAAATGGGTTGTAAAAAATCACAAGATTAAACGAACTTACCTGAAGTGAAGTTCAATCTTGATTATATGAAGGTCTCGTCGAAATAAATAAGTACAATGTAGTTCCCTTTTCTCCGTGCGGCGACCACACATTTTAAAGCCTAAACAAACAAATTTCAACATGCCCCTCGCTTCCCTGCTCCCTTACCTCATTATATGCCCTTGCATCATTTCTTATTTAGTCAATTTAAAGATACTTATTATGTTGTTGTAAATTGAGGTTGAGGGTGGGAGGGAACTTATTTATTTCGACGAGACCTTCATATAATCAAGATTGAACTTCACTTCAGGTAAGTTCGTTTAATCTTGTGATTATATAGGTCTCGTCTCCATAAATAAGTACAATGTAGATTTTTAAAGTAATAACAACAACATAATCTTTTCTCCCCATTTCTATATTGAAAATATATAAAGATTAATTTCTCAGCAAAACTATTCTCATTATCCATCAAGGATCTATTGTAAAGAGTAGCGAACATTCTAGAATTTTTAGACCAACAGCAGCGAGTCTGATGGTATCAAAATTTAACCCTTTCCTGGCAGCTGCTGAAGTTACAGCATGCCGTGTACTATGAGCGGTAAAATGATCCGTATCAATCCTACTCTTATTTAGGACAATTTTAATCCAGCTCCCCAAGGTTTGAGTGGATGTTTTCTTATGCGGTTTCTTGATTGTTACGAAAACAGAAGTTATACTTCCTCTAATGCTCTCTGTTCGTTTTAGATACTCTACTAACGTGCTAGCTACGCATAAATTAGCGTCTTTCTTGAAATAAGGTAAGCGTAAAAAGGGTTGCGGCTTATTTCTACCGAATGTTTTTAATCTTGCGCTAATTTTTATATGTATTTCCCCTAACTTCCGAAAAATTTCCCTTATATCAATAAGCGATAGTGTTTGTAAACGTTGACCCGATGCTAAGGCCAGTAATGTCACTAATTTATGCGTAAGCCCCTCCAAGGTTAACTCATAATTATTTTTTATTTTTAAATAATTAAGTACTACGTACGTAGGATCCCAGGTATTTTCGGACTTGGGCTTATTAGGTCTCAACATATATATTCCCTTAAAAAACCTTTGCATACGAAAATCTTGTAAGAGGTCTGGGCCCGCTATCTGTGCTATGGCTGCTCTATAAGAACTTAATGAGCTAAAAGATGCGCCTTCGTTAAAGAGTTGAGTCAAAATATTAGAACGTTGGAACCCGAAACCGAGAAGGGATCTAAGTTCTTAACGCTACAAAATTCCCACCATTATTTAAGCCCTGAGTTAGACTGTTTTAAGGTGTTACTTGTTATTGAAGACATGCAAATTTCCAGCGCTTCTTCTGGAACATTCCCTAAGAGCAAGGCTTGCCTGATAGCCGGACCTCCCGTCAGAGAAAGATGTTGGCTAACGGGTGGGGAGATCCGCTAAAAGAAGTAAATATTTATTAATTTAAAAAAATAATCGGCTCATCTATTAACATCGCCCTTAAAACCGAATACCAAGGTTGCGAAACCCAGTTGGGTACAACCATTATACCTTCTGCCTGATCAGAAATAATTTTTTTTCTTTTTGCAGAGCCTTTGGGACCATTGAAAATGGAGGGAAAGCAAAAAATAAAATGTTTCCCAGTTTGTTGTAAAGGCATCAATGGCGTACATATCTGGGTCCCTGTGCCACGATATGTATTTCTTGCATTTAGCATTTATATGCGTAGCAAACAAATCTATTTCCGGTAAACCCCACTTATAGTGACCAATTTCCCAAATGCCCAGCTCGCTAAACTCCATTCTGTCTCGACCTTAAATTCCCTGGAAGCCCTGTCAGCTTCCTTATTCTCTTGAGATCTAATATAAGAGGCTACGATAAATAATCTCCTTTCCTCACACCATTGCCAAATTATTCGAGGGATATTGTTTAACTTGGAAATTGAACACATTATGTTCTATGTAATATAGGTATATGCCAGTGCAGTAACACTACTGCACTGGCATATAGGGTAGACAACACTGTCTACCTTGCACAAGCTAGAAACGTTAGATAAGTCATTAGCAAAGCCTTTCAAGCCAAAATAAACAGCTTGTAACTCCCTAAAATTTATGTGTTCTTCTCATTCGTAGGTAGGCCAGAGACCTTGAGAACTTATGTTATTGCAACAAACACCCCATCCAATATCTGATGCGTCAGAGAATATTTCCATAGAGTATTTACTATATGATAATAAGTTTTTGCTAATAGGTATGTTTCGAATCCACCAATCGGTATCAACACATAACTTCTTAGAAATTTTCATAGTTCCGTTATAATTTCCTTTATTACTCTTTAACGCTAAATTTTTTTCTCTCTCGAAACAATTTGGTATATAAATAACCGTACTTATGGCTGGACATATGGATATCAACTTCCCTGTTAGCCTTACAAACTCCCTTGTAGTGCATTTCTTCCATCTTAAAAACTTTTTTAAATGCAAAATTATTTTTGTGATTTTTTCCTCTTGAACAGAAATAGTCATATCCATAGAGTTTAATTTAAACCCCAAAAACGTCACAATTTTTTGTGGAGATAATACTCTTTTTATAGTTTACAATAAACCCCATATTCGAGTAGTCCAATTGTTTCTAATACATTTGCTAAACATGCATCATAAGAATCTCCTAGTAATTAAAAATCATCTAAATAAACAACTGAAACGTGAATATCTCTGTAATAAACTGATTTTTACATGGCTGTGCCTTAGAAATAGCCCCTATACTAAGCAATCTCCGAACGTTGCCCTCAATTGTCTTATGTTGTTGCACCGACCATTTATGTCTACCTGAGATTATGTTATGTGATGGTCTCGTCACAAACGGAATTTTAAAACCTTGCAACCATGCCATAATACATCTATTATCCCTATACATCTTCCCTGAGAACGCGACCTTACGCCGAAGTGTTGTATTCGGTTCCAGGTCCGCCTTTGACGTGGGCGGTTGTAGGAAGTTTCTCGAACATTGAGTCTGTCCGTTTCCCTCCCTGCTGATGTTGAGGCAGACTTTTGAAGTTTAAATGCGGCGTGGACCGAGATCTGGCTGCATTTGATACGATTCTTCCTGGAGTACTTCTGACAGTCTTTAACTGACTGGATGACAGTTAAAGGCGGACAACTCTTTGCCCGCCTTTAATCTTCCTTCCAAATCCTCACCAAATAACCAGGTATCCAAAGGGGATTCCGTTAGAGTGGTTTTCCAATTTTTATTTAAATCGAAAGACACTAGTTCCCTCCTCGATATTGACTTGGAATGGATAACACCAGTTATAAAACGTTCTGTGTCGTTTAGGGTCTCTATATAATGCTTTATATTCCTTTCTCCCCCCTTTCCCTTTTCCTCTAAAATTTTTGCCATTACTTGGCCTATAGCCGACAAACTGGCTGCTAATCTTGATTGAATTTTAGCCAATTTCATCTCTGCACTCCACATTATCATGTATGGCCTGTTTCCCCATTAAATTTAACTGTGGTGGTCCTAAAGAGGTGGCATTCTCTGGAGAGGGGTACTTTTCCATTAATAGGTTAAGAACGGGTTCTTCAAGGCCGGTTTTTGCGATGTGTATGTATCTTTCTGCAATTTCCGGTTCAATCGGTGGTGTCGTGGTATTTTTCCCGTCTACCTTATCTCCTAAAACCGCTAATAAACCTTCCTAGAAAGGTTTAGGTAGGCTCTTTCCAATACCTTTTTCAATAAGTGTACTAGCGCTTTCACCTATAAGAAAATATCATGATATGTAAACACATATTGGGGCTAACTCATGCTTAAGGAGTTTATAAATCTTATACAGCTAGCTTAGCAAAACGTCACTCCATAAGGACAACCACCAACGTGCCTTATGGGACTACCAACTTTGAAAATAAAAGCAAGACAGCCATGCGATAAGTATTCACCAATAATACATACATACCAAGCTAGAGTAACCACCAACGTACTCTGCTGTATTAATGTAATAAGTGGGAAAAACTAGGTAATATAAGCATTCACTGAGGTATTCGCCAACAATACCTACACACCAAGCTAGAGTAACCACCACTGTACTCCGCTACAATTAACTTGAATAAATTTAATGTCCTATAAACCAAGCTAGAGTAACCACCAACGTACTCTGCCATATTATTGTAGTAAGACAGCCATGCGATAAATATTCACCAATAATACATATATACCAAGCTAGAGTAACCACCAACGTACTCTGCTGTATTACTGTAAAAAGTGGGAAAAACTAGATAATATAAGCATTCACTGAGGTATTCACCAACAATACATACCCACCAAGCTAGAGTAACCACCACTGTACTCCGCTACAATTAACGTGAATAAATTTAATGTCCTATAAACCAAGCTAGAGTAACCACCAACGTAATCTGCCATATTAGTATAATAAGACAGCCATGCGATAAGTATTCATCAATAATACATATATGCCAAGCTAGAGTAACCACCAACGTACTCTGCTGTATTAATGTAATAAGTGGGAATAAGTAAATTTAATGTCCTATAAACCAAGCTAGAGTAACCACCAACGTACTCTTGCATAAGTCTCCACTAAGTCTCCACTCAAGCATAAGTGGAAAAATCTAGATAATATAAGCATTCACTAAGGTATTCACCCACAATACCTATATACCCAAGCTTAGAAGAAATTTCCCCCTACTATTCAGGTATTGTATATGTATATGTTATATGTTTATTTACCTTTATTTCTAACATCTCAAACACTGCTTCTAATCTCGTCCTCAGAATCTTGCGAATAATCACTACTATTCGCCTGCCTCTCAAAACTTGTTACACTTTCCTCTTCCAAACTTGTCACTAATCTTTTTCTTTTACGCATGTTTTTATTTTCTAATAACTTTAATCGCTTATCCATCCGTTTAAGATAATCTAAAACACTCCGCTCTACGGAGCGAGAGCCGATCGATATCTTTTACGCGATATTCGATGTGGGTCGTACCGCACACAAAAAAAGACTAAATAAGAAATGATGCAAGGGCATATAATGAGGTAAGGGAGCAGGGAAGCGAGGGGCATGTTGAAATTTGTTTGTTTAGGCTTTAAAATGTGTGGTCGCCGCACGGAGAAAAGGGAACTACATTGTACTTATTTATGGAGACGAGACCTATATAATTTAATATTATTTTGTCTTTAATAGCATATTAATTTAATATTCTATTCTTTGTAAAGTTTAAAAAAATTAAAAAAAGTTTGTGTATACACATAAATAAATATACAGGATTTTATTTTCAACCTCTTACAATAGAATTAGCTTTTCGTTTTTAATATAATTACTTAATCCTTTTTCAGAAGAAAAAATAGAATAATTGAATCTATAATAAGTTTTAGAGCAGGAAGCTGTTCTATTTTACTTGACAGAAGAAGTCTTGGTGATCTCTTACTATATCCGAGAAAATTAGTAGAAGGTGCATATGACATTCTTGATAAAAGATGTTGACTGAATGTTGATGCATTATAGAAACATTGACACATCTTTGTAGTTTATATTAAGAATAATTATTCAGAATTAATGAGATTTCTAATAATATTAAATTTAATGTCATATAAGCACAAAATGAATAAAAATTTGGCTTAACCAGGAAAAGCTAGTTAAAATTACACATTAAAAAATTATTTTTAAATTTAAATACCTTTTATATCGAAAATTAAATTGAATAAGAGAAAATATATTACCCAGTTTTCTTTCTAAAACTAATTATAAATAACCAACATCAATATTTTACATCACCTAAGAAACACCCAGTAATATACTGTCCTACGTAATTTATTTTGGGAAACTAAATCATGGTTTTCGGGAGAGTTAGGCAACCTAAAGGGTATTTGTGGGAAAATGTTCGTCATGAAACTTCGTAGTTATGAAGAAAAAAGGCTAATAATTGTAACCTACATCATATTTTTTTGGAGTAATTTGGAGCATTTTGTATTAGCTTATCCACAATGTGATATTAGATTAAGCAGTTCTTAATTACATCAAGGTCTTTATTGAATCTTTTTATGGAAACAAAACAAAACGAAACTAAAATTACCATGAGGGTTACCAGTTGAAAACATTGTACTTTCTCAGAGTACCATCAGTTTTTAGCTAATTTATCACCACGGCAACGTTAAACGCACTAAATTTATTTGATCAAAATTTAATCAAACTATTTTAGCTTCAGATAATAATCTTATAAGCTCGAACATTTCTTACAGGGATTAATAATGAGCCCGTGTTTATTCAACAATCTTCAAGATTCTGAAAATATGGACTATTAGAAAGTATACGAGTGAAATTATAATTAAAAAAAATACTTCTGATATTTTGATTTTTTTCCGCTATTGGGAACTTCTGCATCACTGTGCGACGTGTCACTTGCACATTTGAATTTTTGTGATTTTTTTAGGTTTTTCTGAGTTTATGTTATTTCTGGTTTATTTTTTATAATTATTTTTATGCAAGTGGTCAAGACCTGAATTAAAGTGAGATTATTGTAAATCCTAGTAAAGTAGAGGTAGAGGCTGCAAAAAATGTGTGTTCCTGGCCATATAAAAACATGAAAAATAATGGAACAGATTTTCACTACTAGTAGTAGTTTAGTTTTCAATTCAATAGCTTAGATTGTATTGAACTGCCTTTTATATTATCCTAACTCTTCTAGTACCTGTTTGATATGTATTTTTGTAGACTGAACGTTCCTCAAACTCCATCTCCCACTCTAACGCCCAGCACTAGTAGGTCACAGAGTGAGGAAAAGCCAGACTTGTACTGTGCCCTCACTAATATGTCATCTCAGCGATGTTCTCACGGTTGTGCCGATTTTAAAAATACTCTGTTGGTTTGCGGTGAGTTTTTCCATAAATAATAATATAAGTATTAATTAAATTACATTTGTTATATGTTTAGGTGGATATGACAGGACTGAGTGTCTTCGATCCGTCGAGCAATATTTTCCAGATACAAACACGTGGAAAGTTTTACCGTCAATGCTTGAAAGCAGAGGGAGATTCAAGATTACCGTGGTGAACAGTAAGGCAAGTATTTGGTAATTTAAAAAATGAATGCATGATATCGGGAGTAGCTAGCTAAAAATTGTTTTTTTTTAAATGGTAGGAGTATCAGAAGTCATATGAAAATTTTTTATTTGGTAGGTATATGCCATTGGTGGTAGTAATGGTACTACTGAGCTGGCTTCGGTGGAAATGCTGAATCTAGAAGCTGGGAAATGGGTCAAAATGCCTCCTATGGCCATAGCTAGGAGCAATATGGGCATATGTCAACTAAAAGATCTGATTTATTGCGTAGGTGGGTGGAACGGACAAGTAGGCCTGAAGCAATGCGATATATTCAATCCAGAAACTCAGAAATGGAGTACAATGGCACCACTTAACACTGGTAAGATCTTTCAAAATTCAAGTACAATATTTTGCTTTTATAAGAGCTTGCACTTTTAAACCATAATAATCCTTTATTGTCTAAGGGGTAGAACCCAATAACAAAACAATTTGAGAAATTAATAGTACATACCATAGAGAAACTAAAATAAAAGAGTGTTTGAAAGGTTGTCTAACTTGACCATAATGTTGCATAGTTCAGTTAGCGATCCAGCGTAGAGCTACCTGCGACCTGTCACATGTCATGACGATATTGACAAATGACTTGACAATCAATTATTTCAACCATAACCATAGATTTGAACTTTGTAAATGTAGTATATTCTTGTTTGTTTTGTGCGTGGGGAAACTGAATCAAACTTTATGTTTTGTGCCATGTGTTTTGCAATTTTGTGTGGCGTTCTTGTTTTTTTAAGTTATTGTTAAGAAAATCTAATATTTTGTGCAGCCGATAATGTGATTTAAACAAGATCAAGGAAAAACTATCTATATGTGAGGGCTATAGAAGCAAATCCGGCAATCTCATCCAATTTTTAATGCCCAATTACTTTAAAAATATCAAAAAAATTAGGGTTTTTTTCATCACACAAGTAATATAAACATCAGAATAAATACGAATCATCAAAAGTCATCATGTATAAGTCTGTTGTGTTTCTCGTAGTTCAGTTAAGGCTCAAGGGTGCGCTACTATCGGTCCTGGCCAAACGCGTTGCCTACTTTTGATGGAAATGACATCTCTTTTATTTTATATTTCTCTATGGTACATACTAAAGCTTAGATATACATGGTAATTTCCAATAGAAAAAAATATAATTAATTTAATAGTCGTAGTATTTATTAAATACTTTTTATTTTTTATTAAATAGTATTAAAAAAATATATTAGTACATAAATATAATATTATGAAAATTTACTATATTTAAGACCTTAAGACTAAGTAATATAATATTCTAAAGAAAAACACACAGAATAACATATAAGAGATCATTAACCTAGCATCGAATGTATACACGCTTCTTTAGTTGTTTTTTAAAAGCGTGCAGGTTACAATTAAAAATATCAATGTCAGCGCATATCATTTCTTTATTTATCAAGAACATCCATAAATTTGGACTTTTTTCTCAAATTCGTTTTTGGTGTTTCCAAGTAAAACTGATTAAACTTATTATTTATTTTTTACATGAAAGTTTACTTTGTTCATCAAGACTGGACAATCAGTCTTTTTTTGGTTATATTTTTATTATAAATTTCTTATTTATATCTATTTCATTGTGTTTTATCCACTACTTTACTAATAACTTATCTATGTATTTCTTACTATAAAAAAAATAATTATTATTAATCAGGTTGTTACATAATTTAAAAAGAAAAATCTTCTGATTGATAGCCCTCAACTTTTCATTGATATAGAGTTAAATTTATTTAGTAATATCTCATGATCGGTCAATCCCTTTCACAGGCTAAAATGAACAGAAAAAAAATAAAGAAATTTTAAAAATGATCATAATAATGAAAAAGAAATCTCGTAAGAGTGTATCTGGCCTCAAAAATATACCAGATAAAATATTTGCGTTTAATTAGTAAGAATAATAATAATAAAGAGCCTTTATATTTAGCTCTACGGGTAGTGCTGTTTGTATGTTAAGACTCCACTCTGCTTACTCTTCATTAATAGCAATAAATTAATGGAGGAAAATATTCGATGAGATATTTTTATTACAGGCAGGTACCAAGCTGGTGTCGCCTCTCACAATAACCTCGTCTACGCCATCGGTGGTTCCGATGCATGGAATTGCCTAAGTTCAGTCGAAGTCTATAATCCTGAGGACGATACCTGGAAACTGTCAAAACCAATCATAACAGCGAGACGTGGCTGCGGCGTTGCTGTGTTCAACGGAAAGATGTATATGGTAGGCGGATCTGACGGTAACCACGCCCTCAATACTACAGAGATATTCGACGAGGAGACGCAGTCGTGGTCTCTGGGACCCACCATGACCACGGCTAGAGCCAACGTAGAAGTGGCTGTTGTAGCAGATAGGCTCTATGCAGTAGGTGGATTTTCAGGTAAAAAGCTGTTAATAGTTTGGAGGTCTTTCATTTATTCAATTTATTGTTCGCAATGGCAAAAATTATATTTCGAAAAAATCGCATTTTTCAGGAAAAACCTTCTTGAACACCATAGAATACCTCGACTCGAAGTCCAACGAGTGGACCACCTTCATTCCAAAAGGCACCTGTGAAGCCATTACGCGGCGAAAACCGCGCAGTCGCAAGAATTCCAGAAAGAGCGTTTCCGAAGACAGTAAGAAATCGTGCGGTATCCCCTCTCCCACCGAAATCATAAAAAACTTATTAATTGGAAATGCAGAAAGTAAAGAAAATACGGGTAATCTTTAATTCAGACGCAATCGATGGCCAATAAGTTTAGGATAATTATTGTAAGGAGCATAACTTTTATTGTTATAAGAACTCTAGTGTTGAACTCTTTAACTAAATAGCGATCGGCAGCGATGAAGAATACTGCCTTTGGCCGTAGAAATTAATCGGCAAGCGACAGTATTCTTGATCGTAACAGATCCCTATTTAGTTTACAAGTCCCACCCCTTTTTCTTTACTTTCAAGCTTCATCGAAACCTCGAAAATAGGAATTTATTAGTGGTTTCAATTAGAACTTTGTGTCCTTAATTTAAATGAACGTATTCTGAACGTCCAAATTAATGGTAGTCATTTTCAATTAGTAGTTAAAGTTAACAATGTTAACTATATCCACTAATCATACTTCGAAATTAGCGAGTAATGTAATTTTGGCCTTTGATTATCATCCGTCAAGAGAAATTGTTGGCTAGATATAACAGGTTTATTGTTTTGTAAGCTAATTATTAAGTATTATCTATGGTTACAAGTTACAACTCACTACCGCAAGATGTAGCTAGGCTGTTCTATTTTTTTTAGATATTGTAAATGATTGTAAACACTTAAGTATACAGTATAGTTGAAACCACTAATAACACTAATTTCGAGGTTCTCAATAAAGCTTCAGTGTTTTTGAATCATTTAATTATTCGACAATGTCACAGAATTACCTAACCCTAACCATAAAGGTGCTCGTCCTACTAGGAGGCGTGGCACGGCGCGAATTTTTTCGCCAGGGAAGTTTGCATCTACTTAAATGAAAGTCCGCTCGGTTAAGCGGCGTGCCATTCCTCATAACTGTGCGTGCATACTAAAAAGCACCTTAGTGGGTGTACACCTTAAAGAAGCGACACAAGCAATTTTTTTGCGAGTTCATATTTTTCATTAAACTCACCTTTAAAGGTGGGTTTATATGCGTCCGGCGTTTCGTCACACCAATCATGTTGACTGTCATTTTTGAAGTAACCAATCAAATTCCGTAAAAATCAACGGCTGAACACGCAAGACTGATGCATAATATAAACTCGCATAAGGTGGAGTCTCATGTATCCGTCATCCGTTGATACGCTCATCCGACGGCGTTCGATTGGTCATAGTGTTTTTTGGCGCCACATTTCATCCGAAAATTGTTAAACGTTGCCCTTCAACGGAGACAGGTGAATAAATTTATTTTTTCGTACGATAACGGATGTTTTGACAACTGTAATTTAACCTAATTTTTTTTGCTGACAAATTGGGTGCATTTATCGCTATCGGGAAGTGGTTATTCTCTTTCTAATTTATATGTAATTTTTGCTTTCACATTTTAAGGATGGTAAAAAATTAATAGATTGATAAGTAAAAGTCACGGAAACCTTTGTGAAAATAAAATAAAAAAATGACAATTGTAATTTTGTATTGTAAATTGTAATTGTGAAATATTTTTGAGCGATCAAACGCAATTCGTATTATGCGATAAATGGAAGCATGAGAATGCACTAAATTTAAAAAACTAAAATTAATCTAATAATAACGTATCGTCGGATATCAGACACATGAGACTCCGCCTCATTTTAAATTGTATAGTTTATATTTACTAAATTTAAAATAAAACATCTCAATAAAATAGGTATATAAACAAATCAGTATTTTGAATGTACAAGTACATAAGTTTAATTGTCAAAATATATTGTTTTAAAGTCAAATTTAGGACTATAGAAATTAATAGGCAGTTAAAGCATGGCACAAAACGTATACGTATCTTTGGGTACGTAATTTACAGGATATATATTATATTTCTTTAACTGTGTTGTAAAATGCTTTTTTATTTAAAACGAATTTAACATATAAAGTATTTAAAAATTTATATTCCATAGATTCCACATTTTTATTCCATAGATTCCACATTAAATTTACAAAAGTAATATTGAAGGATTAAAAAACATTAACAGGAATTATAAGAAGTACTTAGTCCCCTTAAAACCTAAAATGCTCTTAGTAATAAAAAATATTGGAAAGTAGAAACGCTTTTTAACTTTTGTTCATAGGATATGTTTACTTAAATTCCAGCTTTGAGAATCCCCATATGGATTTTGACGAAGAACTAACGTTTAGAACAATTTAATTAATTTATTATATTAAAATAGGACCATATTCTGTTACAATAGCCTGAAAATTTCAGCCAGCTATTGAAACCAGATATTTTTTATGGATCTGAATTTATACGTTTGCGTTTTACGCAAGTAAATTCCTCACTGCGCAAGCGTACATGTGAAAGGATACGTTTACGTATACTTTGTCTATAGTCTTTGGCCGTGTTTTAACTGTCTAATACATCAAATTAACCGACGCTTATTGTCGCTTCAGCGTAGCTATATTCTGTAGGATAACTTTTATTAATTCTTTACTTTCAATATTTTTGAATGAATTAATTACTCACGATGTTCATGTTTTATTTTTTTATTAAAGGAAAATTATTATTAAGTAAAAATATTTCATGTGTAAAGCCATTTAAACCTAGCCGAAAATTATACTCATCGCATCAAGAACACTGATATAAAATGAAAAATTATACTCTGAATATTAAACTTTTATAATATAAAGAGACCCTTAAAAGTATTAATATATATTCCTATATCTCATGAATAAGCAATGGAACATACAAATTGTATAGTTTAAGCAACTTTGCAGCAACTTTGTGTTTTTAAGTAAAGACAATATCGTAAGTTACATTTTATACATTACATTTCGTCTCTTGAAAAAAATCGGTTTATTTTTGAAATAAGGATATTTTTAAAATACAAGATATATGTATATTTTGCTACTGTGGTATCTCGTGGGAAGGCTCTCATCATGGGGCCAATAAATAAAGAATTATGTCGACTAATAAAGTCAAAACAATATTGAAAAAAAATTATATATATTATAAATAGGAAAATTCTATAAAATAAATTCATTTAACAATAGATAAATGTCTATAGAATATTGTATTCTATATTTTTGTTTTAATTTTATTTGTCTGGTATAAAAGTATTAATGTAATATTCAAAAAAGTAGGTCTTAATCGTAAGGCGCTTTATGAACTTCACGCATGCATATTATAAAATATCAGTAAACTATTAACTTTTTGTTTTATTAAGTTGCACATACCTATTGCAGACCTTTAAAAAATATCACTCTTCTTTAACATTTTTTTAAATGGATTAAGCTTTAAGAGTAGTGCCACTTCTATTGCACACTATTTTATAGTATTTTTAGATTTAAAATTCATATATTATTCATTCATCATATTAAGTACAATATATGTAGATGTCTCATTTGTTAGTGATTTATGAAATTAAATTTTATCAGTAATTTAGTGCAAAGATGGTATAGGACACTACTCGCATCCAGTTATTTGAGAATTTAGATATTAATTCAGTTATCAGTACCTACATATTCAGATTTTCATATTTATAAATTAATGTATGTAGTGATAAAATCGCTCTAGATTTACAAGCAATTTTTATTTTGTATAACGGGTACCAATTATTATGACCCCTAAAAAAATAAATAAATTTATTTGATCTATTTTGTAGTTTTATTCATAAAATATTAAATACAAGAGGTTTTATTTACATTTTTTCATGTTTTATCATAGGCGACTTTAGCATCCACATAGCCTTCTATTGTGCTAAATTTGACATCCGTTATCTATTTTGAAATATGTCAATAATGACAAGTATTTAAAAGTTTTTTTTCTTGTTTTTTTTTTGTTAATTGGAAAAAAAATGGAACTTGAAAGTGAAAAGAAGTCTGGAGAAATTTCTGAAAACCAAAGCACTATCCCTAGAGATACATCTAAGGTGAATCATGAATATCACTGTTTAGAGGACTTCTGTATAATGGTATGTTGTGGCCGTTGTTGTATATTGTGTACCATTATATTATTCAGTTTTGTTTGATCAGATTAGCGTTCCCAGTAGTAAAGCTCTCATATCGCCGTCTACCGCCGATGTTCCTGAAATGTCACATACAGATGATGTTGCCGTTTTAGAAGCTTACGCCAAAATAGTAGAAGATAATAAATCTAGCAACACAATAAAAGAAGGATCGGTAGAAGGTAGTAAGTCTAGCAACGCAAATAAAGGAAAAACGTTTAAAGGTACGAAAAACGTTGACAGCACAACTAAAGAAAAATGTTAGAAAGTAGTAAAAGTCTAATGAGGAAATGGTAGACGCAGTGGCGGTGTAAGGACGGGGGGATGGGGCGGCCCGCCCCCGGCCTCTTCTAAGAGACCTCCAATCCTTAAAAGTAATTTTTTATTCAACTGGCAAATAAGGTCCAATATATGTTCAGCAGTTATGAAGCCAATTTGTCGTTAGAGTATGCAAACCATACGTATACGCAAACTATAAACAGTATAAATGGAAGCAGATATTTACTTAATTATCAATTATCTAGCCCCAGTAATGGCCAATGCCATTTTTCTATTTAGGAAATTAAATTAAGGGGTAATTTTCTTTGTTTAAAATATCGAATGATTATTTTTTTATAATTTTAAAGATTAAAATTATCAATATAAACTTGAGACTGAATTTATTTATTTTAGCTATTAAGTTATATTTCAATGGTTTCATTATTTATTTTTCCTCAATAAACATTTTAAATTACAACCAATGCACAGTATGACTTGTATTCTGGGGGTCACATTTTGCTTTGCCGCCCCGTGCCCTCGACAGGCTTAGTCCGCCACTGGGTAGACGGCAGTAAATCCAACAATGCAATTAAAGAGCAAGACGAAGAAGATGAAGACAAGGAAATGGAAGAAAATAGGGGTTCAATAGCAATATGGAATAGTCGGATGTCCAGATTACCTTCTGTAAGATCAGAAGATTCTGTGAAAAGAGCATCGAGAATTAGATTTTCCAACAGTGTAGTGCAGGATGGCGACGTTAACTGTAGTGAATTTGTCGATCATGTCAGATTTGCTAAGGAGTTTGTAGACAGTATTATAGCCGAATCAGAAGGTAATAACAAAAATTATATTGTGTATACAATGCCATATCGTGGGTGATCTGGCAAATGTTCCTATCTACTGAAACAATAACTTTACAGGAGGCAATAAAAACGGTATTTTCAAAAACGGAACGACTTAGAAGGCTGGGCTATTGAAAATACATTATAATGTATGTTTTCTATTAAATACTATTTATTTGGAAGCAATTAAACTGTAAACTTGTTTATTAAATCAGATAGGATTTTTTGCTTTTGATAAAATGGCACATAGGATTATTTGTATTTTAGGATTATAAAGGATAGGACGTTTTGCTTGTGGTAAAAGTAAGATAGGATAATTTGCTTTCATAGTTTTATTATGAAGATAGGAGAAATTGCTTCTTAATATCACCTGATTATAGATAGGAGCTTTTGCTGTTTAATCAAAATAAGTAGATAGGAGTTTGTGTGACCAGAATAACAGCTGGTTTCAGATAGGAAGTTTTCTTTTCTTTTATTTTCAGATATTACCTTTTGTCAATTCCTGCATAATGACTCACAGAACATTATGCTAAAATAATCTCAATTTTGAAAAAAAAATGGCAGATAGGAGCATTTGCCAGATCACCCGCGATATTTGGTTTAAAACATACGCGAGATATGCATAAGAAACTAGCGATGTTTGGCCCTATTACGGATCAGTTTGGAACTGAACAAAAATTATATTGTGTATAGAATAATCCGGCTTTTTGTAAAAAGACTAGGCATATTATAAAACGCCGGCTTTTTACACAAAAGAAGGAATTTTTACAAAAGGTTTATCTATTTTCTGTCACTTGCAAAAAGCCTAATCAGAATTAGGCATATTAAACAACGATGATATTTTCTGTACACTTTTGCAAAAAGACTGCCTGTTTTCAGTCATTTTAGAAAATGCCAAATCGAGAATCAAGGCCAGGCAGATTAAAAAACGATCAAAATTTAGTCAGCTATGAGCATATATAAGCATTGATAATTTAATATTATAGCATAAGCATTGAATAATTTACGCTTTAAAACTAATTATTTATGTCAAAATTTTATTATGTTTAGACGAAAACAACTGAATCCTGAAAAGTTTTAATATATCAAGTTTATATTAAGGGTTTTAATATAATATATATGTATTAAGGTTTTAATATCTCATTTAAAATGCTGTCAATCATCATTATACTCTGTCAATCATTATTACACTCTGTAATTCGATTCTGTGTACTTTTCGAACTTTACTTTCTTTTAGAATAAAATTAATTAACTATAAAATGAAATGAATTAAACTATACTCTATTTAACAGAATCACTGTTTGTGCCATTATTTTCAAATTTTGAAAGAGAAGTTTAAGAAATGTCGTTGGATAAATTTAGGTTAATTATACCGTTATACCAATCCCGCGTAAAATGTTTTGTGCAATCTGACTAGTTTTCATTAAGGATTTTGCAAAGCGACTGAAAACAGATAGGTTCTTTGTAAAATATTCTTCTTTTGTTAAAAACGCCGGCGTTTTATAATATGTCTAGTCTTTTTGCGAAATGCCGAGTTATTCGATACGCCTGCGACATATACAACGCATAAGGCATATTTGGTTTAAAACATGCCAAGATATACTTTAGAAACTAGTAATAGTTGAACCTAATTTTTTTACGGATCAGTTTGAAACTGACCAAATATTATATTGTAATTATTAAATGTATTAAATTATAGTTGTAAGCGTATAGAATATTCCGGCTTTCTGCAAATAGACTAGGCATATTATAAAACGCCGGCATTTTAAACAAAAGAAGAAAAACAAAAAGCCTACCTATTTTCAGTCTCTTTGCAAAAAGCCTAACAAGAATTGGGCATATTAAACAATGACGATATTTTCTGTACACTTCTAGTAGACATAGTAACTAACAGAATCATCAGTGCCATTATGTCCTAATGTTGAAAGAGAAGTTCAAGAAATGTCCTTGGTTTAGTTATATATACCGATCCCATGTAAAATGTTTTGCGCAATCTGATTAGTATTCATTGGGCATTTTGAAGATTGACTGAAAACGAGCGGTCTTTTTAAAGAAATGGCCAGCAAATATCATCGTTTAATTTGTCTCATTCTGATTAGGCATTTTGCAAAGCAACTGAAAACAGATAGGCTCTTTCTATAAAAATGTCCCTCTTTTGTTTAAAACGCCTAATATTTTTGCAAAATGCCGAATTATTTGATACGCCTGCGACGTATACAACGCATATACAGGGTCCGGCAATAGTACGTCGGGCATCTGTAGCTCCGAGAATAAAAAACTTGAGAATTTTGTTTAAGTGCAAACCTGAAGTATGTATCAGGATGTATTTATATAGTTATTATATGTAGTTATAGAAACTAATAGTGATGGTTAATCCTAATCTATATCATCAGTTTAGAACTGACCCCATATTAGGGTTGTCAGGCGTCTGGTATCTCCGGGAAAACCCCGGATTTAGATATACAGGGTATACAACGGTTTCATCAAACATGTGCCATCTCTCGTGAGGAGATTCCTCAGGTAAAAATAAGATTTATTTTGCATATCAATGGAATATTTTTCTAAAAAAAAAACATGTACCCCACTGACTTTTTTTCTCTTGCGAAATCGTGTAAGCAGTTTAATGCCGATTAAAAGTTTCTTGATATTTTGCCAATTTCGACCTCCTTGATGAGATTTCGGCCTCCTTGATGCAATTTTATTAATTTGTCTTGATCCAATTTTAATGGCAACCTTTAAAAAAAATTAATATCGTTAACTTTTAAGTTTTAAATAAGTGATCATTGATTCCTCATCAAAAATTAGGCTTTTTGTAGTTATCTTAAATACCATTATTTTTTTATTTGAAATTGCTGTATAGGTTGGACTAATAGTAATAATATTTAATAATAAATTAGGTAAAATAGTTATTAATTTTATTTTTATTTTTATTTTATTAATTGTGTTTATCTCATCAACGAGGCCGAATTTGACAAAATATTAAGACATGCCTTTTAATTGACATTAAACGGCCTATACAATTTTTATATGATATGAAAAAGTCAGTGGCGCACTTTTTTTTTGAAAAATATTCCAGTATGTATATGCACGTCCCTGATGAATTTATCGGCACTTTTTAGCATTAAAATACATATTTTAATGCTAAATACATGCACTTATAGTAACTTTTACCCTCAAAATTTCATTCGAATCTCTAAAAAAACTTGCGCGTAGGACGCATCGCGGCGAGCATCGCATCGAGATACCTCACTATGTTTGTACCTTGTGTGTACCCTTAGATTTTACTGGTTAAATTTCTAAAATTGTCATATTAACTAAATTCCTGAAATAAAACTGTAATAGAATTATTAATTTTTAAACAGCTCTACCTAAAAACCTGGAACGTTTAGGTATAGAAACATGGTATATCGTTGAAATTTGATTAGTCTTTTGTTTTTTTAACGAAATACAATTAATTGAATTTAAAGCAACAAAAATCTGTGGAATGGAATTTCAGGAAATTATTTATAACAACTTGATTATGAATACGAGACAATGGTGATATCTATATAAATAATATTCGTAGGAGTATATGGTGATATCCAATCTATTGATTTAGACAGATCGATTATCGACTTTCCTTAACTGTAAACCAAATTTCAGCTTTCGATATGCCGAATTTATGATTAACAAATGCTTAGCAATATCAAGTTTTTGTCAATTTTACACGTTTTATTTTTATCTCTAATATAGGATAGTACTATAGAAAAATTATGAAAAATGGAAGTAGTTTCGAAAAATGTAATAATATACCGGGTGCTTCGTTTAACAAAATACAAAGAAGATGCTACTACCCTTGATTATGTATAAATAGATATACAATGAGGGCTTAGTAAAATCCTGTATTCTAGATGGCGCCTTGCCCGTTTTGCATTTTTGTATTCCCCTACGATTTTCTTTGAGGGGAATCCGTTAAACCCGCCCATCGTTCAAAAATGGAAGGGCGCGAGGTCACATCTATAGCCCCGTTCTCAAGCCCCGTTCTCAGAACTGCGACTGTCGCCAGCGACACGACAAAAGAACCAATCAGATTTGTACAAAATTCAAACAGCTGTCAATTTTAAATTTAGTACAGCTCCCATTGGTCGTTTGAAGTGTCAATCAGTGTCGTTGTCGACACGACGCAGTTCTGAGAACGGGGCTTCAGAACTGCGACTGTCGCCAGCGACACGACAAAGAACCAATCAGATTTGTACAAAATTCAAACAGCTGTCAATTTTAAATTTAGTACAGCTGCCATTGGTTGTTTGAAATGTCAAACTGTGTCGCCAGCGACACGACGCAGTTCTGAGAACGGGGCTTATTGGGCTACTTTAAGCCCCGTTCTCAGAACAGCGACTGTCGCCAGCGACACGTCAAGAGGACCAATGAGATTTGTACAAAACAAAATTCAAACAGCTGAACGGGCTTAAAGCCCCGTTCTCAGAACTGCACGTCGTGTCGACAGCGACACTGATTGACACTTCAAACGACCAATGGGAGCTGTACTAAATTTAAAATTGACAGCTGTTTGAATTTTGTACAAATCTGATTGGTTTCTTTGTCGTGTCGCTGGCGACAGTCGCAGTTCAGAGAACGGGGCTTTAGGCTACTTATTAGCACGTCTCACGCATGTTTTACGAAAATAGCTTTATCCTTGTTTGTTTCAACTGTGACAAGAAAAAGGAAAAAGTCATATTCGTTTCTAAATTCGGCAGTTTTGTTTATCTTTCTTGACTTCTGCGTTTCGTTTAGGTTATGTCTTAAAAAATAATTATTTATAAGCTTTTGAGTTGAAATATACCTTAATGCATATCTAAATAATTAAAAAAATCAATTTTTTTTGTCCCTCACGAAGAAACGAAACAGTATTTTTGAATATTTGGATTACAAACTATTATTTTATGAGTTTTATGTGTTGTGTTTACGTGATGTGTGTAATGTGTATTTTGTACCTGCTGGATAATATTTTGAAACATATTTAATTAAACAAAAAGCATCTGTATTACAGGTGAGTAAATACTGTTCATATTTATTTCTAAATTCATATAAATTTGTTTTAAATCACTTGGTTTTTAGAGTTTTTATCTTAGAGTTTTACCTCATAGAGAGTCTGAGATAAGTTTAATAATAAACATTAAATTTGATAGATTGATAGATAGATTAAACGATAATGGCCAGTTGACTTAAAAATTTAAAAATACTGATTTTATGCTATAAATTATGTTTCATTTCTTTCTTTGCTTTTTTGGAACTGTCAGATATATTGTGTATTTTATAATTTTTCTTAATTAATAACGTAAAATATTGTTTATCTACAGTCAACCCTGTGTTTAGATAAAGCTTCATATCAGATTTCCTATTTTATATTTTCACTCAAATCATATTTTGGTAAAATAGGTATGCTTGCATGCAAAAGTAGCATAAATTTAACAGGGAGGTATTTTTATAGATATACAGGATGATTCATAGATTTAAATACATATTTACTTTAGTTGTATAGTTTGTCAAAAGAAAGGCTATATTTTTTATTTTTTCTTGGTGAATTTGTCAAAAAATTGTCATTCCAGAAAATACTATAATGTCGTAATCGTATAGAGTTCATTTTGACCATTTTTGGATTAAATTTTTTTGTTCATATTATAAAATATATATTTAAAGCCCTTTCTAAGTTAAAAATAAATAATATGGAAGTTTTTTACTGGAACTAGTTTAAGGTAATGTTCTCTTCATATAATTATATAAAAATATGCTAAATTCCTAAATTATTTATATGTTTAAATTTTCTTTATATTATTTTTTTTGTATTATATACAGGATGAGTCAAAACTAGATATTATATTTTTCTTTGCTATTTCAAATGGAACACTTTATTTTATATCATAAATCAACAAATCTTTTATCCAACTTTTGTTTTGTTAAGATCTATATCCCAAATTAATAGTTATTGAATTGTTCTCAATAATTGTCTCTTTGAGAATAAACATGATTTGTTTTTTGCAATTTTTATTAGTAAGGTTTGTCGTTAAAAGTGATGTATCTACATATTTATCAGCGACAAAAATTAAGAATTAGATGCCTAAAATATTTTCCTAATTATTTTTTTACTTGGCGTAGCAGTAAATATTATTTATTTTTTCGCTGCAGCTGAAAATAATTATGTATTCCAAAAGAGGACATTACTGTATAAATATCGATTATTTGGATTTAAAAATTATTTTTCAAAACAAAGTTGGAAAAAAAAAAATACGTTTATGTCATAAAATGTGGAGTTCTCTTTGAAATAATCGAGAAAAACCCAACATCTAGTTTTGACGCCACCAGTATATATCATGCATTATAGTTGATTATACTGCAATTTATTATACATACGTAGTTTTGTTTGGTGAAAATGAAACTTTCTAAAAGTATTCCCAATTAAAACATATTAATAATTTCCTACATTATAATTTTGAAAGACGTTTCAGTGGGCAGACAATTTGGTCTAAAATAATCATATGTCTAAAAAAATTAGTCTAAAATAATCAAAAACCACTTAACACATATAACTCGCTTTTAAAAAATCTAAAAGAAATAAGTTTGTTTATTATATTCATATTTTATTAACTTATTATAGGTGTGACTGCTAAGTGGTCGTACTCGCCACTTTAACCAACCATTGGTGGGACCATGGTAGGACCTTCAGAGATTATAATGCGAATTTTTCATACCATGTAAATCTATATACATATATTAATAAATGCGTTTGTTTTATTAAATTTGTTTTCTTATACGGTATGAGCGAAAAAAAAACGGCGTCTATTTGTTTACGTACAAATATATGACATCGATATTCATTTCCAAGCCACCTCTGACGCCGTTTTTTTTTATCGTATGGTATACACTTACATATATCCCTTATCCTTTAAATCCGATTTATTTCTAATAATTATAAAAATAAGATACCTGATTGATTCTTCCGAAATATTATAAAATGAGATATCAGGAAATAAATAAAGTTAATTATCTCGTTTGTTTTGGGAATTCAAAAAAAAGGGTATAGAGAATCTTAAGAGATAAAGTTCAAATATTATTTTTGAGTATAATGGGTGCTTCAAAAAATGTGGCAGATATAATGTAACATGTTTTTTAATGCAAAACTCTTATTTATAACTCTTATTTTATTTTTGATTCTGCCTAAAATTCTATAACTTTTTTTTATAAATAACGTTAGTATTTGCAAAAAAAATTATTCCTATGTTACATAATTGTCAGTTGTTTCCGAAGTTGGGCTACACAAATTTGGTAGGAGTGTTTTACATAGGTGAAGAAAAAGATATATGTAAAAATACTTGGAGTTAGATGCTACACTGTGTTCAAACAGTTTTTTTGGCTGATCCTATATATTATTATTTTTTCTAGTGATTTTACAAAACCTTTCAACATTTGTTAAGAAAGTATATTAAGTACATCTATACTCTATACAGCTTGCAATCTGTTCTGAATTTTTCAATTTTTATCCTTCTTTTACTTCATTTACACTATAACAAGTTTTGCCATGACAAAACAAAAATTGCATTAAAGTAATTTATGTAGTTATAAGACATTATTAATAGAAATTGAAGAATTTTGTAAAATCTATCAGAAAAAAATATAATATACCAGGTGTTTTTCAAAAGTGGCTTGATTGACGTATTCAATTAGTTTCGGTTATTTCTTGTTTCACCGGAAATGACTACAACTTGGTTTTTAAATGGTACCGTCGGTATTTTTTTACTTTATTTGACAGAATATGGCATTGTGAATAGAATAATTTAATGTCAACTTTTGACATATTTACTTAAAAAATTGTATTTTAAATTACAATCTAGAGTGCCATGATAAAAAACAACATGTAACCGGTCGTAAAGGTAACGACAGTTTGACTCGATATACGAAGTGTGTGGTACCAAATTACCTATATTTACCAGGTACCAAAAAGAAAAAGACACAAAAAATATTAGACAATCAAATCAATTTTTCCGAAGCTCCTTGATTAAAAATTAATGGTTTTAACACAGCCATGACACTAGATTGAATTTTAAAATGCTATTTTTTTAAATTGAAAATGAAAATGTTGACATATGATATATGTCATTCTATTCAGAATGTCATTTTCTATCAAATAAAGTATAAAAAATACCGAGGGTACCATTTAAAAATCAAATGTACTCGTACATATACATTTCCGGTGAAACAGGAAGTGACCGAAACTAACGGAATACGAATCAATCTCGATTTATGTCATATACCTACTAACATTCCGAATTTGGTAAACCCCGAATTTAATTTTTTTATCTGAAAAAATAAAAAAGTTATAGAGGTGAACCGCTTTTGAAAAAACACTCAGTATAGGCTGCGTCATTGAAAGAATCTGCAGATATTTTTCTATTTTAAATACGTAGTCGAATTTCAAAAATATATATTGAACACCCTGTAGCATCTACCTTAAATATCTACATATAAATATCTAATATTTTTTCTTCATCAACAAATTGAAATATTATAAAACTATAAAACTAGTTTTAGCTTACACCATTATACAAGAAATATACGTAAAAAAAGTAATAGAATTTTACACAGAATCTAAAATAAAATAGGATGTTACTTTTAAAAAAAACATTATGTTAAATCCGCCACACTTTTTACAAAGTTACAGACGTAGGTAGGTATAGTTTCATATTATATTCTTTAATTATCCATCTAAAAATAAAATATTTATATACCTAATATCATACTTTAGTATCCAACAAGTGGCCATGAAAATCAAAATAAATATAAATCCATGTCCAAAAATAAAAAATGTAAATAACGCTTTGAGGTATAAATTCGGTTCGAATCAGATAAGATATTTTATTCTTTACCGAGAATTAAATTCGAAGAATTCCTAGTCCCTACTTCTTTGCCAAATTCAATAGTCTCCGCCCCTTTTTACGTTTTAATTTCTGCCACCAGTTGGCAGCATCGACTTATACAGGCACATTGACTAACTATTAATATATAAACAAGGCTACTACTATTAATGATAAGGCATCACTGTAGCTCTGAAAATAATGTAGATAGATAACGGTTCTCCATAAACGTCTAACCTACGATAGCCGTGAATCACCCTATTTCTTACTGTATTAGATACAAAATACAAAAATTTAAATATTAAAGGATTATTTTTAGAAGTGACTGCAGATCAAACTGAAAGGCAATCATTGGAAGTAAAAAAATATAAAAATTCTTTTGAATTTTCGTACGTGGAAAGTACGAGGTCGTTTAGTTCCTGGCCTACAGTAGAGAACTTTACTATTGAACAAGGCGCATACAAAATAGACGAGTATTTAGCATCGTTTCAAACTGAAGAAGACTGGCTTTACGTCATCTATTATCAAGGGGCGATGTCAACTAAATGTTCCGAGATACATAAATACCAAGTAAAATGTGCAATATAAGTTTTAAAATCATTTATTTCTAAAATATAATTTTAGGCTATTTATAGTTTACCGACATGGAGATATCCCATAGCACAGGCGACCGCTAGTATTTATTTTAGAATCGAAGTTTGTAAAATAAAACCGAAATATTGTCCAGTAGATGTAAGAAAATATTGTGTATAACCTAGGTCTAGGTCAGGGTTTCTCAAACTATATAACGCCGGTGAAATGTGATAAACTGCTAACTCCATTATTCCAAATTTTACAGGAGAGTAGTGATGGGTTGTTATTTAACTATCTGTTATTTTATAACAATTATTTATAAATAACATAACGCAACCGTTACTACTTCTAAAAAATAACAGATATAAAATAACGACACGTAGAGATCGGCCGCTCGTGAAACGAAAAACGTCGGCGCTTTGCACCGCTACGAAATTCTATGCTGCTCAAAGCAATTCCAAAAAACAACTAGTATGGATGCAGTGTTGCCGCGACCAAAATTTTATTATCGGTAGAAATCTTGGTCAAAATTCGGTAGAAATCGGTAGACTGGATAATTAACACGTGGTTTTATTAAGAAGTGTCCAAAGTAAGTCGTTTTTGGGGTATAAAAAGATGCTTGAAAAATACAAACAACACAAAATTGTATATTAAACATGAATACACAGGAGGAAACTCTTAAATAAATTAATAAATATCGTTTTAGAATTTTTTTAATAGATGCTCTTGCAAAGCCTCTCCAAGTATATACTGCCTAAAGCTATTCAAAAATATTTTTTAATACTTTTGAGAATTTAATTTTTACCGAGGTCCTTAATACTCATTTAGCAATAGTCGAATTCACTAAATACATAGATAGTTTACTAAGTTTACTACTTATTATACAATTTTCATCATCATACATTTCATCATACAATTCAATTATTTTTAGAAATTTGATTCTTTTTGATCCCTTTATCCCTAAAAAAGCACAAGCTCTACTTAGTCTGCTTTTAGTAAATTTTATTCTTGGTTGGAGGTCAGGTGTAAATAAATATTTTAGAGATTTAATCCATTAATTATTATTTATTGATAAAAGAAAAAAGAAATATTTCATGACGTTTCGACCATTTTTAAAAAGTAGTATAAGTTTTAACAAATTTACGTTCAGGATCGAACAAGTAGAAGATTATCAATCAATTTGAAAAAGACCCAATATGAAAAAGAAAAAGTTATTGGTCGAAACGTCATAAAATATATTTTTTTCTTTTATCAATAAATAATAATACACCTGACCTCAAACCTAGAATAAAATGTACTTAAAATATATTAATAATTGAAACTTAAAGTCTTCTTTATAGTTTTCAAAAATCGGGATTTCGCCGATAACGGAAGAGGTGAAAACAATAATTGCCAGGGACATCTATACAAAAATAAGTGTAAAAAGTAAAGAGTTTACCCTTGACCCTTGATTATAATAGACAAGGCCTTGACAAAACAAAGAAACTTTCCCTGATAATAGGTGTACTGTAATTTGCGTATTTGTGATTCAAGAAAATATAACTCATTAGATATTTCATACAAATTCTATTACAACATTCGTTTTTAATATCTATGACACTAAAATATTCCGAAGAATGAAAATCGGTAGAAAATATAGACTTTTCGGTAGATCGGTAGATAGATTGCCAAATCGGTAGATCTACCGAAAAATCGGTAGAAGTGGCATCACTGTATGGATGGAAAACATGTTATTTCGTCAACCATCGATACAGGCGGCGAGACAACGGACAACGGAGTGGGGAATGCGCTACGGCGAACGTAGCTGCTTCGGCCGATACCGTCGATGGTCGTATTGGGCTTACAACAGCTTAAAAATAATAGGATATAAAAGAAGCAGGTTTTTTGAAACAGTTGCGGGCATAACGCCTGGCGGTCGAGATAACAGGAGTGAGAAAGGAACGCTGTTGCATCGGTCGATTGTCGATGGAGGTTCGAAACAGGTTGGAGAATAACGCATCAGTTGTTTTAGATACATTGTTTTTCAACCTGTTACGAGCATAACGGGCGGAGGTCGAGATATTATGGCGCTGTATGTTTCAGTACTTACTTATTAAGTTTCAATATTTAGGTATTTATTTATTCTGAAAATTTTTCAGAATATTTTAAGATTTTTTAAAAATGTATACAGGATGTTTTGAAAAATCTGGTCATTGATTAATCACGATTCTGCTTAAAGCCATTGAAGTAAAAAGCCGATTTTTGGAAAACGGATTGACTTTAGGGTGTAGAGGTTCGATAAGAAGGGATTTTTCGAAACTCGAATTCTAAGGGAGTGAAACTACCCTCAAATATTAGAATATTTTTTATTTAAAAACCGGTGAGTTTTTCGGAAAAACTCTTAAAACACATATATTTTATTATGTTGTTTTACATATTTTAAGATTTTTTAAAAATATATACAGGGTGTTTCATAAAATATGACCATTGAGTAATCACTATTCTGCTTAAACTGCTTGACGTTATAGCTAATTTTTGGCAAACGGATTGACTGTGGGGTTGAGGTTCGATAAGGAGGGGTTTCTCGAATCTCAAATTCCAACAGGGTGAAAACGCCCCTCAAATATTACAATATTTGTTATTTAAAAAACGGTTAGTCTTTCGGGAAAACGCCTGGACACGCATAATTTATTTTGTTTTTTTACATATTTTGAATTTTTTTAAAAAAATCATACAAGGTGTTCCAAAAAGTTGAGTAATTGATTAACCACGATTCTGCTTAAACTGCCCGACGTTTAAAGCTTATTTTTGGCAAATGTGAGAAAATTTTATCCAGTTTGTATGTTAATGGAAATTCTTGTTTTGCTTTATCATCACCATTAGAAATTATTAATTCGACGCGAACGAGGTCGCGGGTACAAGCTAGTTTAAGTGTAAAATTAATTCGAATTCTAGTGTGTAGTTGGTTTACTTATGAAGAATATACTACACATTTTCTTATATTGCTATTTTTTGACCGCAAATGGTAAAATCATAACTAAGAGCTTCTCGCCCGTCGAGTGAGATGCACCCTGTACACTGCTACGCAATTCAGGATCTACGCGGATCGAGCGGCAGGGCGTAGGTAGATCGGAATGTATAGGTATAGACGAGTGGCGGAATTTTGGCTTTTTTTATATCGCAATTTGTAAACAGCCCTTATTTGTAAACAACCACCGTTTTTAGAGAGGTATTTTAGATAACAATCGATATTTAGAAATGTTTTGACACCCTGGAAATACTACCACCGAGCACGTCATTGTTGCAACTTGCAACTGCGTTAATACGCCTGGCGGTGACCGCCTCATACTCTTTCAGATATTTAGCAGTAAAATAAAGAAACCTGTTATTTTTAAGCTGTTATTTTAAGCTGTTTTTTATAAATAACTATAACAGTTTCAACAGGAGAGGTACAAAAACGGTACAAAAAAATATGTACATATGTAGGAAGTATTTTCATGCGATAATATGATAAAGAGATAAGAATTTTATTTGCTGGTGAACAATAAAACTGGACATTTCGTGTTAAGTAATTTTTTTCAGACACAATAGGGAGATAGCAGATATTCGTCTTGCAGAAATAAGAAATAAAAATATACTTCTGGACATAGCAACCTTTACTGTTTGAAATTTTGAAAATGGAATTGAATATTACCCAAACAGATTTAGAAATAATCAATTAAATTTAAAAAATATGATATTCATAACCATATATTTATAATATCGTCGGTCTAGAAAGAGAGCAAAACATACAAGTCCAAAAACTAATAAATTTTTAATGCATTGTTAAAGAACTGAAGTAGCAGCATTTTAGACTTAATGAATATGAAAATAATTTAAAAATTAAACTTATAATTCTTAGAAGATATGGTAGAAGCCTTCCATGCTTATCCTAATTTTTATACAACAGTAGAGTAGACCGAGCTTGGAAAACAGTGCGTGATTTTATTAAATTTTGATTACTTTTCTATTTATTTTTTTAATTTTTATAAAAATTATGTATCATTTACGTGGAAAAACGTTGAAAAATATAAAACTGATTAGGTATTATGAGAATTCTTGTACAAGTAAGTAATGTTATTTAAACTATTTATAGCACGCCGATGAATTACTCGTATATAGAGAATTTCGTTTTTCCCCTTACCCTTTACGGATACCCCGTACACAGCCCCGTATTTACAGAACGGATCGACGCAGGGTCGGACTGGCCATATTATATATATATAACTATTAGGGGGCCCCGGCCTTCGCGGGCCCCCTTTATAGTTCATTATTTACTGTTAACAATATTTGCTTTTGCATTGCATTATGGCATTTGCATTGGATTGGTTTACCTTGCATTAGGGTAGTTCCCTGATTTCTATACAGGGTGAGTCTTAAATAAGTGCAAATATTTTCAGGGCTGGTAAATCTCGATAAAAGAAACATAATATTTTCTCTTTACCGTTTTTTCAAATAAATACAAAACAACCGAGTTAAATTTATAATTTTTTGCTATAATTTTGAGAATCATTAGATTTTCTTTCTTATAAATTTAATCTACTACCTATGTTGCCATATTACAAACGAAGTATGCTTTTAAACTAAAAAATTAAAAAATTTCCAAATTTTTTTTTTTAAATTCCGAATTTCGAGCAAAAAACCTCATAATCGTGTTTCTTGGGTTGAAATATACTACCCCTAAAAATAGTTGCACTTATTTAAGACTCACCCTGTATATAATAGGGAAAAATTGACCAAAACGTAAGGCGAAAAAATACGCAAAAAAATCCACACGGGCCCCTCCTTACATTGCCACTCGGGCCCCTTTGGCCTAGTGCGACCCTGGATCGACGTACTGTACTAAAGAAACATACGAGTAAAGCCCCGTTCTCAGAACTGCGTCGTGTCGACAGCGACACTGATTGACACTTCAAACGACCAATGGAAGCTGTACTAAATTTAAAATTGACAGCTGTTTGAATTTTGTACAAATCTGATTGGTTCTTTTGTCGTGTCGCTGGCGACACAGTTTGACATTTCAAACAAACCAATCAGATTTGTACAAAATTCAAACAGCTGTCAATTTTAAATTTAGTACAGCTCCCATTGGTTGTTTGAAACGTCAAACTGTATCTTAAAACCCCGTTCTCAGAACGACGTCGTGTCGCTGACGACACAGTTTGACGTTTCAAACAACCAATGGGAGCTGTACTCCATTTTAAATTTAGTACAGCTCCCATTGGTCGTTTGAAGTGTCAATAGAGAACAACGGTATACGGTCGAGTCGGCCGCTGCTGGCACGTATACGTAGACGTAAAGCAAATACGTTTAAATAAAATATACGACGGCCTCCCCATAAGAGCAATGAGAGGATTTACGTCCCAGTATTGAAGGAGGACAGAAAATCGAGTCGAATGGTTTCAAGACATAGGTTCATCCTTGTTTAGTCAAACCTCCTACAACACAAGGATAGACTTATGTAGGAAATGCATTGAAATTCTATAGCCATCCTTCAATATCGGGACAGGAATTTAAGCGGTACCCTCCGTTTACTTTATTTTAAACGTATTTGACGTAAAGGATCTTTTACGTGTATAAAAAATATAAGAAATGCGTATGCGTACGTAAACGTTTAAGTGTTTGTAGGCCGACTCGACCGTATGCCGTTGTTCTCTATTCAGTGTAGCTGGCGACAGGACGTCGTTCTGAGAACGGGGCTTGAGAATCAGTGTGTTTGCTTTAGCCTGATCATAACGGAAATTACGGAGATAGCAGCATTTCGGCGGCTATTTCAGATCACTGGGAGTTAGCAGATATTATTGAGTTAAAATAGCAAATTTTCTTTAATGGGAAAAATGTATTTGCTTTCCATATTTATAGAGTATTTTTTCTCTTTCTAATTGTATAAAAAAACTTGTTCACATAAAAAATGGAGTTAGCAGGTTATCACGTTTCACTGACGATAAGGTTATGTGGGAATTTTTTTTGAAATTCTCTGACAGATCTTATTTAAATCCAGGAAAAGAAGGAACAATTTTGATAGAATACAATAAACATCGACACATTTTAGCCCCGTTCTCAGAACTAGGTTCTGTCGCTGGCTACACTGGTTGACATTTCAAAGAACCAATGAGAGTTATTTAGATTTAAAATCGACAGCTGATTGAATTTTGTGAAAATCTCATTGGTTCTTTTGGCTCTCTTTAAAGCTCTGAAGCCGCGTTCTCAGAACAGCAAGTGTCGCGACGTGATAAACGTCTAATAGACGTGAATCACCCTGTATATATACAGTAGAACTTGTCTAATTCGGACACACGCCAAATCGGGAACTCCAACAGTTCGGCGTGTCTTATCAACCGGACAATTTTGATAGTTTTATCTCTTTATTCCGGATGCCAACAATATTCAACGGCAAATGAATGAAAGTCCACATTTTTTTTTAGACGGTGGACGGTTAGATGCAGTATGTAGTCTTTTCTTTGTAGTACAGAAAACAGAAGTATCGTATATTGCTAAAAGATAGAACCAACTAAAAGGCTCTTGCTAAAAAAATGTATGATTGGATTGCATTGACAAGGAAGGAAGGATACGTAACATTTCTGTTCCATATGTAACATTTCATTTTTTTGCCGTTCCGAAATTTAATATTTGAGATATAAAAGAATCAGAAATACCAAAAACAAAAAAATTATATCTACCAAGAATAAATAAAAAAATCAAACCATGTACAAAATAAAAAAAATTGTAAATGAACTTCAGGAGAAAAGGAATTTCTCCCTGGTTTGATTGAAGGGGATAATAATGCAGAAACAAATTGAAGAGAAAATACTAGGCACTGGAAACAAAGGAAACAAATGACGACTTCAATGAAACTGAGAATAACAATGTTGTGTTGAAAATGAAACTTAGCAATATGCTGTAAAGTCTCTATCAAAAAGTATTTACTGGGTAAAGGAAAACGATGTTTTGATATTTTACTTTTGAAAGGAGAGGGAAGGCTGTTGAGGCAGCAAATCGATAAGTATGTATGCATATAAAAATCGATTTTTTTTTTAAATCAATTAAATCAAATAGATTACTCAATGAATTCAATTCAAATTATAATTTCACATTTATTGACATTTTTCTGTAAGTATTTACGGTGTATTAAAGTGCGTAGTTACTTAATATGGATGTACGTATAGGAAGTAGTAAGTAGTAACTGCGTTATCTTATGGGTGCATATCTGCATATACATAGGTACAATAAGAACAATTTATAAAAATAAAAAGAACTTTTAATGTGATTTATAAAGTATTTTTGCGTTTTGGTTTATATAAAAATGTGTTTTAAAATTTTGAGTTTAGGCTGGAAGCAATAAAATTGTGAAACAATAACATTATGCAAGTATTCCTCCAGTAATCCAGATACTTCATTAATTCGGCTGTGGCTGTTCCAATATGTGTGTCCTAACTATCAAAGTTCTACTGTATATGAAAAAAAAAACGATGATGTCCATTTTATGGAATTTTTAAGTAACCAACTTAATTTGTTGGGAACCAAGTCCCAAACACATATTAAATTGTAATTGAATATAACAAACGATGTCAAAATAATAACGCATACATTAATCAATTTTTGTATCTTTAACTTTTTTTAAAATAATATTTGGCAATATATTAGAGAACAACGGCCTACGGTCGAGTCGGCCGCTGCTGGCACGTATACGTAGACGTAGAGAATCTTTTACGTGTATAAAAAATAAAAAATATAAGAAATGCGCATGCGTACGTAAACGTTTACGTGTTTGTAGTTGTAGTCTGTGCCATTGTTTTCTATTAAATCATCGGTTTCTCTGTTAGTCGGTTTTGTGACATCATCGGTTTTTTTCCCGTACCCTTCATATATTCGCTTGCTGGATATACTTCAATTTATGATGCACAAGTGTATATTCTTACAATTACTTATTAAATTACAATTTCCTTTTAGATAACTTTTAATTATGAAACATTTCGACTACAGCATAAACCTGGAGTTTTGGATTTCAAAGAAAAGTGGCTATTGTATATTCTAGACTCAAAAATAAACACCTTTAAAACAGTGACATACTAAAACAATTTATACAAGTAAAATTTAATTAGAAATTAAAATTAAAACCCACAAAAAAGAAAAATAAATCTATTAACTTAAATACATAAATAAATTGTTGGTACAAATTACACCTTAGTTTACTCTTATTCGATTTTATACTACCAATAATCAATAATGTGATTGAATAATGTCTAATCTGCTCAGAAATTAACCACTGAATGTGGCCAATGCAATTCTCAACCACCCACCTAAGCATAGTATACAGCTTTATTTGCACTCAAAAAAGGAATAAAATAGCTCTAGCAAATAAAAAATAAATATATATTTATCAACTTTAATTAAGGAAAATCTAAATAATTATACTCGTAAGACTACATAAAAATCTACTTTTATGTTGGAACCATTGGTGATACAACAGAAACTTATACACTTAATCAACTACATGAAAACACTATTATCATCTGAGGGACCTTCTGAAAATATATATCAAATTGTTCAAGAAATATTAACATAGAAAAATGTGAATCCAGAGCGATAATAATGTGTATCAATGTAGTGTAATAATAGGTTCTAGTGATACTAGTAAACTCTGTTCCAGAGAGCTAACAGAACACCTTGTATTGAAGGTAATAAAATAAATAATGACATAAAAAGTATCATGATCTACTAATATTAGTAAGAGGATTATCTATCGATCTCTTCAAAAGACTGTTAGGAGAAAAATACTTTATATGCTATCATAGAGAAAAACCTATGAGAAAAACCTACCACAAAAAAAGTGATATAGATTCAATATAAAATAAGTACTCTATGTAAACTTATGTGTCTCAAAATAAAATCAACATGCTCACCATAAATGATATATTAAACCAATAATGTCTGTACAGCCTTTTTTCCTGGCCAAGCTTCTTTGGCATATTTTTTCTTTTTTGGTTCTAAAGAATCTGCTGCTTGAGCTTGTTGCGGTATAAAAGATGGATGTGGAAGACCCATATCGACCTCAGGTGCAGGATTAGGTAACACCATGCCTAACCTGAATAAAATAGTGTTTTATATGTTTTACACAAGGTAGTCCTTGAACTTACCTTGTACTGAGTGAACTATAAATACCCATATTGCCCACACTCGATTGCGTTTCTGGAGGCAAATCATTATATAAATCATGCTGTGGGTGATGTAAAACTTTAGGGACTTTAAACTCTTGCATACTGTGTGGAACACCAAGACTTTCTCCAAATTTAACTCTCTTATTTGAACTTGGAACAATGGTGGTTTGAATTAGATTTCTAAATCTTCCAATGCTTGGGTCAATATCTTCTGGATTTATAATTTCTTCATCTTCATTAAAGGAAACCGAGTGTCTTTTTCTTTTCCTACTTTTACTTCTTTTATCTACATCATCACTTATGCCCAACATTGAAATTCTTCTATTATGCGCTGTATTGAATTCTGTAAGGTTCTAAAATATTACAATGTTAAAGTTATTTCAAATGCTTATTCTTTGGAATTTACATCCAATTCAGTTTCAGTTTCTGGCAAACCTAATAGACCTCCTTCAGTTTCTTCACCTGCTTTTTCAATTTCATCAATTATGGGTCGAATCCCTGTCTGAGGCCTTTCTCTAATAATATAATTTCTTGTAGAAGCACCAAAATGGAAACTAGAATCAATAGGTAATTGTGTAGGTTTATATCCTTCTATACGTAAACTGCCAATAAATGTTCCATGGGCTTAAAACAATTTATTATTACTTATAATTAATGGTATAATAGGTAAAACTCACTGCTTCCTAAATCTACTAAAAAAGCTCTATTTAAATGCTTGTGCCATACGAATGCTGCATGCACTCTAGAACAGGATGCATGATCAATGCAAAAATCATTCATTTGTGAATTTCGTCCAAATAAATAACATTTCTTTTCATCAATCATTAATTTCTGAATTAGTTTATCGCCTTTCAAAACATCCAAATGTAAGCCAACTGGTGGCTTACCAGCCCTAAAAATTAGTTTTATACTTTAATCAAATCATACAAAAGTTAATTAATTTATATTGAAAATTAAAATTATATTTATTATCTGACTTGCCAATTGGGAACTTCGTAATGATTTGCCATAACAAAATAAGTTTTTAAATCATTTATTAATTGTTAATTGTTTAGTTCTTGAACATGTTGAACATCAACTGACATCACATCAACTAAATACAAATCCCACCATGTTTGAGTTCACATTTGAGTTTGAAATGGTTTGAAACCACAGAATATACTAATTTGAAACGTTTGAAACACGTTTGAAACATGCATGAAACAAGAAACCACAGAAGAGAAGACATATATTTAAATCTGACGTTTGAACCACAGACCAAATATCTTAAAATATTATTTTGCAAAAAAAGACTTCTGACCAGGGTTCGGAAAACTACATGTTACTTTTAAAAAGTACATAAACTACATTACATGTAGTTTATGTAGAGGTGTAGTTTATGTAATGTTTAGGGTGTAGTTTATGTAATCTATGTATGTAACTTTCAAATATCAAGGGTTTGAGGTGAGGTTATAATAAGTTGAAGCTTTAAAAACACATAATGTATTTAAGAAAACAGAAGAAATATGGCTTTAAATATAATATTTACATCATATTATCTCTATTACACCTCATATAAAGGAAAATTATTCATAATATCAATACATAGTTTATTAACGTAGTTTTCATGTAGTTAATTAACGGGAAAAGACGTAGTTTTTGAAGAAAAACTACACGTAGTTAATCAGGTAAATTACGTCTTAATTAACTACTTCCGAACCCTGCTTCTGACGCGTCGTCGTACCATCTAAGCGTCGTACGCAGGGAACCTCCATACAGGGAACACAGCGGCTGATGCACAGGGCTGATGACTGGGTATCTGCTGGGTATCTATTCTTCACATCGTTCGCACTTTGCGTATGCGCATTTGCATTTGTTATATGGCTTTCTCAGAGATGCGAGTGATATTTGATGATGCAAGTGGTCAAGAATATGTACTACTAGGTACCCTAACCGCTGAGAAATGGCTGAGAATAGCGGCTGACTGGGCTGACTGCAGGGTTCGGGGTTCGGAAAACTATATGTTACTTTTACTACATAAACTACATTACATGTAGTTAATGTAGTTTATGTAGAGGGTGTAGTTTATGTAACTTATGTATGTAACTTTCAAATATCAAAGGTTTGAGGTGAGGTTTTAATAAGCTGAAGCTTTAAAAACACATAATGTATGTAAGAAAACAGAAGAAATGTGGCTTTAAGTATAATATTTACATCATATTATCTCTATTACACCTCATACAAAGGAAAATTATTCATAATATCAATACATAGTTTATTAACGTAGTTTTCATGTAGTTAATGAACGGGAAAAGACGTAGTTTTTGAAACAGATAATTATTACATATTTAAGTAGGTTTAGCAATAATTAATAATACATATAATATAACAACTTACATGTACCAGCTTAAGTATTACTTTAAAAATAAATATTTTATTTATAAAGTTTTCGCGCCATACAAAATAGGTGATAAATCGATCTCACATTTATTGATCAGCTGATTGACAGAAACAGTGCTGCCACAGATAAAAATATAGTTTTTACATTTTATTGTGAGTGCGTTCCACTAAGCGCTCACAATGCTCAAAATATGCCTTCGGTCGTTCCACATGACGATCGCGGACGTTGCGGTCGCGGCTAAAACGTCACTAATGACGTCATTATTTTCGCTCACGCCGAGCTCACAACGACCCATCTCAATAGTAGGATCGAAGTGGACGTTGAGGAATTTTGGCGCAATTTTTAAAACTTAAATACTGATACAAAGATTTCTATGGCTAAAAATGGCTACCGAAAAAATTACTTTGTACGATTCAGAAAGAAGTGTGTTAGTAGAAGCATATGTGTCTCCAGAAGATGCTGAACGTGCGGCTACAGGTAAATATAATTGTATTAGATAAGTTTATTAGATTAAATTAATTTTAGTGTTTATACAAAAGCCTATAATCGGTAATATACACATACATAACCTAATACAATATTCATTATCAGTAGTAGAGGGTAGTAGTATATTTCATAAAAAAATATGTTTATAGATATAGTCTTTGCTACTCAATTATTAAAAAGTATTGAAAATGAGGAACCTTCTACAACTATTAATACCGATATGAATGATGATTGCAATAATTATGATCCAAATGATAATTTTATTGGCGAAGAGACACTTAATGAGACAGGTGAAACACAGATTCAACTGATTGAAACTCAAGAAAATGAAGGTAAATTAAAAATAAATCATATGGTTATCTTGCCTTGTATATGAGGATGTCAATTATATATCTGCATATTTTAGCCTCCTTATACAGGTGGAGTCCACCCTGTGTATTACTGCTATTAGAGACCTATAGGTCGATGGAAGGAACCCTTAAAAGTGGTAAATTACCCCAAAAAAAAGTATGGGAGTCGATAGCTCAAAAGCTTATTGAAAAAGGGTATCATGTAACTGGAGGGCAATGCTCATCTAAACTGCGAAGCTTAAAAAAAACATATAAATCCATAAAGGATTATAATAACAAATCAGGGAATGATAAAAGGAGTTGGCAGTTTTTTGAAGTTAGTATATAGTTTTTAATATCCATATTTTTTAGATATAATTAAATTTTCTATAAATTGCAAATAAATAAGTCTTATAGTCAATAGTAAAGTCTCTAATTAATATGCCATATTGTATATACCTAATGTATTGTATACTTTTTCTAGATAATGGAGGAAATCTTTGCCAAAAAGGCATGGTGCAATCCAGTGGCAGTTGCATCTTCTAGTGGTCTCTCATCAAAACAGTTAGAAAGTAACAATAGTATGGAGGAGTCGGACGGTGGATGTTCATCAAGTGAGTTTATTAAATCAGATGAGACAACTCTTAACTAACCTAATGTAAAAATTAAATCTCATTCCAGAGTCTAATAAAAATACAATAACATATTTACTGGGGAAAAGACTGAAGCAAAGGGAAGAGCATGAGCAGTTTAAAATGAAAAGGCACGAGGAGCGGATGGAGATGGACAAGAAGTTACTGCAAGTTTTAGAAAAGTTAGCTGATAAATAATTGAGAATAATTCACTATTAATTTTATTAAAAGTACAGGGTGAGTCAACAATAGAGTAAAGTTTATTATCTCATTTGTTTCGTGGTTTACAAAAAAATGTTAAATACAAAAGTTACAGAAAAGGTTATGATACATATTTTAAAATTATTATCAAGTATACAGACATTTTTTTGTAAACCTCAAAACAAATGAGATAATGGACTTACTCCATCAATGACTCATACTTCACACGTTATAATACATTTGATAGTTTAATATAAAAATAAATTTATGCAATTAGATTTTCATTTTACAAAGAATCCATGATAACATCTCTTTTAAGAATTCCTGCATTTCTCCTTACTTCACGCAAAATGTTTCCATTATTTACCTGATTGCCGTCAGGTATGGTGATAACAATTAATTCATCTTCTTGTAAAATGCAGATATTATGAATTACACAGCATGCAACAATGTACTCTGCAATTAAATCTACCCTTGTCATTGGTAGACAATGTAATAAACTCCTCATTCGTCCTTTTAATAATCCAATGCATCTTTCAACAGTTACTCGAGCAGATGAATGATGGTAGTTATATTTTTTTTGTCTCTGACTTAAATGTCCATCATCTCGATAAGGAGTCATTAAATTTTGATGTATTTCGTATGCCGCGTCGCCTAGAATGTGGCTATTTTCTGGAAATGCAGCATCGTCATTTAAGTAATCTGCAACTTCTGACAGTCGGAACACTCTCTGATCATGGACAGACCCAGGGTGTCCAACATAACAATGTGTTATTTTTGTTTTATGATCACATACGAGCTACAAACCAATTTTAAATGTATGTAAGTCAATTATTACCCAAACTAGTATCATGCTTAAAAGTAAAATATACAAATACCTACTTGCAACTGAATAGAATGGAATCCTTTCCGATTGATATAATCTCCTGGATTATTTTTCGGAGCATTTATATGAATGTGAGTCCCATCAATAGCACCTATTGTTTTAGGAAAGCCACTTGCTCTTTCAAATCCACGCATAACATCAATAGCACGATCTCCTGTAGGCCATTGTATAAATCTTGAGGCTCTTACAAATAAAGCTTTACAAACTCGACGTACAGCTCTTACTGCAGTAGCTCGTCCTACGTTAAATCTGTCACAAACTGATCTAAAATAAAAATAAAAAAATATGTCTATTTTAATTATATATACTTCCAAATATCAGACTAAAGTTATATTTTTATAAAAATGTAACCTATAAGAATCCGTTGTAGCCATTTTCCAAAGAGCTATCATCAATTGATGATGAGAAGGAATTGTAGGACATCCTGGAACACGTCGAACTAAATCTTCTTGTATTAACTCATGCAAATAATTGAATGTGTTTCTTGAAATTCTTAAATAATAATTACATAAGTCCCTCAACAAATATATGACAAAATCATTTATTTACCTGAAATGGCTTTTAAACTCTTCACTTGAATAACGATTAATTACATTCTCATAGCCAATAATACGTGGTCTAAGTTTTCGCTTTTTACGATCGCGATTTTGTAAAATTGCATTCCACTCTTCGTCTGAACTAGATGAAGAAGTTTCAGACACATTCCGATGCACCAAATATCCAACTGTCGCCAAAGACATTTTGATTTCTTTTTTTTAGACAGATTTTTTGAATTCTCTTCTGTGATTTTGACTATTATTTACTATTTATTTACATACATTGACAGGATTGACGCTTAAAACGCCCCATAACCCATTCCACTTGAGTTTATGATTGTAACGCTCGCAAGCAAGTGGAACGGGAAAAATCGCGATCTTGAGCGTGAACGTTATGAGCGCTTAGTGGAACGCACTCATAGTCTATAAAATGAATAACTTTGAATTTTGACCGTTATTTTTTACCAACATGGCAAATATAAAATCCCTCTATCAAAAAAGTTACTGATATTCATTAAATTGAGTGCCTGGACTTTGGCCTGAACGAATCAGATAGATAACTCTTTTTACTTTCGTGAAATAGAAAAGGAAAATAATAAAACAAGTGACAGTTTTTCCTCTTGTGCAAAAATCAACACGAAATGACATAATTGTCAAAAGTAAAATGTCATTAGCTTTTGACATTTCTAAATATCAGACCAATGGCGTCTATAATAGAACAACCTCGGAGCGAGATTTATGACGTCACGCTAGTTAGATACTACGGATTAATAAATATGTTGTAGAATACATGGAAAACATAATTATTCCTCGTATTTTTGGTTTGTATTTTAAAAATGATATAGTTTACATGAAATATACATAATACACAGTTAATAATTGTATACCTATTTATAGTAATAAATAACTTTGGCAAATAAACTATGAACCATACAAATGCAGCAAATGTTTTACGATATACAAATAATGAATAGGTACATAAGATAATGGGTAAAATGTAAAATATACTTTAAATTTGGGGGTTTGAAAATCGATCTAATTTAACAAAAAACATTCAATATCTACTAATAGTGCTGTATTAATTTACATTCACAAAATTTTTATGCATATTTTGCAAGTATCAATGTTCGAAAAATTATATTTGCAAACAATACAATATCATAGAAAAAAAGGCGTCAGCGATGGCTATGAAATAAAAATCGCTGTCATTTTATATGTAAAACTGTTCTAAAATTTTTGATTTTCTTGGGATTTAGGTTCGGGAAAAACGCTGATTAAGTTTTCATTTGGTTTTTCATTTTTTGTTTAAAAAAAACGTTTCGGCTAACATTATAGCCTTCATCAGTGTTGTGTCATATGAAAAAAATAGTGTCGAATATAATCAAAAAATCCTTATAATATAATATAAGGATGCCGAAATTGGACTTAATGGGTTTTTCATGTTAAAGACCGTGAAAAACTGGACATAGTGGTGTGTTTAATCCAATTCAACCAAAAATGTGACTTAGTGGATTTTCGCTGTACGCCTACGATATATATTTATTTATTCTAAACAGCGTGACGTCATAAATCTCGTTCCGAGACTGTTCTATTAGTGACGGCATTGCGTCAGCATGGCCGCAAGTTGCTAACCTAATAAAATTAACACTAGAAAAGCCCGCGGGAACTGTCAAATTCAAAGTTATTCGTTTCACAGACTATATGATTATTGTATGTATGATTACTGTTTTTTATATATTATTGTTTCCCATCGAACAGTAGAAAATGCCAATGCAGATGAATGTATTGTAATTGTGATAGAAGTAATTCCAAGGGTGAAGTTTATTATAATTAGTGGAAGTAATTCCAAGGGTGAAGTTTATTATAATTAGTGACCTGTGCTTCTTTTTATATGTAGATGTTTCAGATTTTGAGAATAAATCGGTTGAACGAAACCCAAAATTTAGAGGAAGATGCCCATCAAGGATTATATAGCTCAAATTTCCTTTAATGGTAGGCAATTATTCAATGCAAATTAACTTTTTAAGTGACTGAAATATTAAATAGTTTACAATATGGTATATCACTAAAAATATATTTTACTTTTAGGTACAATTAGGGTCCGATACATTTCAAAAAGTAGAATATTATTTTATATTAAATGAGGTATTGTACCAACAATCAATTTATATTAATACCGGAGATTAAAAAATCACAGAATAAATAGTTCTTTTTTTTATACTACAAAAATAAACTATAGAATACAGTATTTAAAAAAATAAATAAAAAGTTATGTCCCGGCCGAGATTCGAACTCCGGTCTCTCGCTTCCTAGCCCGACTCCTTATGCACTGCTCCACAGTAACTTGCTTAGCGATAATTCAATGACGGTATATAAACAAAAAAACAGGTTTATAACAATATCTTGACGATTTGAACTGGCGCGCGAGGCGTGCTGACCAATAGCGCCTGTTATCACCTGTGACGTAACAACCAACCTGCGCAATATCATACCTTGTATTCTTTGTACCTGCTTTGTACCATGAGATTAGCCCTAGCAGTAAAAAGGTGACGAGAAGGAGACAACTTAAAATGCTTTTAAGAAGAAATGCAGAACTGCACCACAAAAATTAATGTCAGAAAGTATTTGATGATTGATTTGATGTTACTTTTTACATACTTTTTATCAAATATATTTGCTTTTTATATATTATATACTATTATCTCCTAGCAATCTCCAACATTTATTGTTTTAATTATTTCTAATATCTGGATTCTAGTCAACCATGGACACTACAGATATTAAATTAAATTCAAAAAATCCGGCAGTTATAGCACAAGTTTTTTCAGAGCTGGTAAAAGGGGCTACAAAAGAAAATAATGAAAAAGCCTTTATTTATTTAAGAAATAAATGTTTGCTCCCAGATCCACTACTTAATGAGACTGCTAGGGCAGCTTTAATAATGTTAGTCGACAATGGAACCTACCAGATTAATCAGTTATTACCAGATTTTATTCCAAGCTTATCAACAATAAAGTTAAACAACAACCACTTGTTTTAAATGAAATTATTAACATTTTTATAATTGTAGTAATATTGCACCATTATCAAAAGTAATATTACCTTTATTGTATATGGAACTTAAAATATTTTCTGATAAAAAGGAACCTTATACCAAACCAAATCTGGTACAACATCCTTTAGTAAAGATTTTACAACAAAATACTCAATGCAATATACAGATAATTATCTTGAAAGAAATTATAAAAGGTTACAACAATAATATAAGGTGAATATAATCATAATAATGTTTTAATAATTATGTTATACATTCTTTTTTTAGTTTAGATTACCTTACAAAATTTAACCATCCTTTTTATTTATACTGTGTATGCTGTCCTATTTTAAAACTAGATTTACACCTATTGAGAAGTAAACTATGGAGTTTATTGATAAATATTGATGAAAATAATCACACTGACAATATTTTCAAATTATGTAGTTGGCTACAGGTAAAACTTTCTTTTCATTTTATTTCCATACTATATCTATGTGTATAGTGGGAAATCAGATTACAAATTATGCAAAAAGTATATATTTAAAAAATATATTGTTTAATGTAATTCATTTCATAGGTCCAAAAAATAGATGTAGCAGAAATCACTAGTGTCTTAATAGAAGAGGTCTTGAAGTCAAAAATCTATCTCTCAGAACCAAATTCATCTCATACAGATTGTTTCATACTGATGCAAATACTCCTTTGTTATTACTCAACATTAAATGGAAGCAACTGTGAATTAACTTTTAAACATTTAAAAGATACCATCCCAGATAATGAATTTAGCCATCTCAATCTCTGTCTAATAATATTGTCAAAAGCAATACAATCTTGCCCATCATTATATCTTACAGATTTGTTAGATTTGTGTAAGTATTTGTGCTTAGATCACAGCTTAGATAGCTCTTTTAATCTAAACATTTTTTTCTCTAGGTTTAAGTTTAGTAAAAAATAAACGATGTGCCCCATATAGCTTTTTTGCTATAAAATCGTCTTTGCTTTTGTGGTTAGCTGTTCCGTCACTGTTAACACAAGATGCTTTACGAATTGCAAACAATATTTTAGGTATGGAAACTTTTATATGCCGCGAAAGACCAAAAATTCTAGCTTCAAGACTGAACAATAGTCAATGTGATTATTTTTTCTTCTGCAACCCTGAACTATTTCTATCCTTGCAGTTAGGATTTAAAATTGAATGCACTAGAAATAAGAAATTCTCTGTGTGGTTGGATGGTCTGAATGAAGCTCCTGTATATTTTTCAGTCAGAATTTTTCCTACTCTATGTGGTTTTTTGCACCTTAAAAATTTACATTCTGAAAATAAAATCAGGTTGCTATCCCTTATCACCAAATGCTCAACAATTCACACTGAGTTAGCACCAACAGTCTTAAATAATATCCTTTATCATTTATCAAACACTAAAGATAATAAATTTCAATTTGAATTACTAAAAGCGCTGCCCTCAATGGCATGTGAAAAAGAAAATATTCCTAAAATAACAGCGACAATTGAGGCAATAGTGGGTGAATCGATTCCGCTGTCCAGTATAGCTAGAGAATTGATGTATATGACTTGGGAGATAGATACAAAATGTTATTCAAACCTAGAGAATCTTTTGTTAACAAAAAGGAGAGACGCTTTAAACACATATCTAGCTGAAGATTTAACATCCAAAGCGTACATAATTAAAAAATTAGCAGAAAAACGGTAAAATATTAAAGTATAGAAGGAAAAGACATTTTTACTGATTTTTTATTAGTCCAGAGCTCTATGGAAAGGATCTTGTACCACACTTATCTAAAATTTTAAATGAGTGCAGTGAATCTTGGATGTCAATTCCAATGGTTTTAGCAATTGAAGGCATAGGACATTTATGTAAAGCTGAAATAATTGATATTGTTAGAACTTGGGAAACTTTGGTACCAAAATTCAAAAGTGAAACAAGAGTACCAGTAATCAAAAGGTAAATTTTGTCCAGTAATTACTATCTATGTCATTCTCATAGGTAAGTATACCTATATACTAATTTTTTATTCAAAAAGTTGACATTCAAATAAATTCTTTTGTGATTATCTAGTTATAATGTATAAATAAATACAGACCGCCTAGAAGACCTTTGGTGTTTTAAATATTAAATTCAGACACATTATTTTTGTATATTTTCAAAGAAAAATTAAAATTAATTTGGTTGATTTTTATCTGTTGGAAAGTGCACACACTTAATAAGTGTTGTGTCAATGTAGTTATTCTTCAAAAAAAGAAAAAATATACCTAATTGATGGCCACTTGTTATGTTGTATAAATGAATATTTTTCATTTCTTAGCATTTGTGCACTGATAAGTGAAATACCACTATTATCTTATACAGAGTCATATGAAAAATTAAATGATGAAGTCATACAGTTCCTATGGGCTTACATATTAGAAAATAATAACACAGAAATAATAAATGCAGCATTAAATGCCTTAGCAGTTTTTAAATTTGAATTAATATGTGCTAATATTCCAACTTATTATTTGGAGGAAGAATTACCACAACAAACATCATCAATATTAGGACAAAGAACTGTATCAGGTATGTTTGTAATTATATTATTAGTGTTACTATATCAAAATATTATAGGCAACACTTGGTTAAAATTTCTTTTGATGTGTAATTCAAGAGAAGGAGCAACCAATTTTTTCATCTCATTAGTTAAAAATGAAATATCAAATTACTTGAAGTATATTTACCAGTTGAAAAGACAAGCCGAACCTGATAACTTTGGAGGGTTACCTACAAACAGTATAGTTAAAGTTTTAGGAGAATATGTCAAAAACAACACAGCAAATGTATGTTTGGGTTGGTTTGAATACTGGAAGAATACTTTCATTCTTTCTAAAGGAAAAATATATAGGAACCGCTATTTTTTAGATTTCAAAGTGGATAAATACAGAGAAAGACAAATTATTTATCGCCTGTTTGAAAATTTTAAGTCAAGAATATATTAAACCTTTACCACCTCTAAATTGGTGTTTTTTACAAGAATTAATTCACATACCAGAGTTGAAAGGTTTTTGCATTGATATAGCTTGCCATCAGGCAATTCTGTCAGGTTCAGCTAGAAGGCTAGTTGAAAATTACATTGAGGCTCTTACAGAAAAAAATAATGCAAGTGAACTTGTATGAAAAATAGAAAATACAATTCAACATATTTATATTTCTTTTCTTTTAGGACAAGGAATTTGTGATCATCTACAAAAACTTAAAGTATATTGCTAAAAGTATACAACCTATAATTTTAAAGCCATTTTTTGAAAAAACATTATATTATACACTGACTGAATTTAGGGAGGACGCTGTTCTAAAAGATATTCTGCATTATTTAATTTATGTATTAGAAGATGATCAGATTCAAAAGAGCAATAAAAATAGCATTGAAGAAGTAATTAGTGAACTTGTATTTATTGTGGACGTTAATGATTTGGTAATCAGATTTAAAAAAAATAATATGATTTATTCATATTCCAATTTTAGACATTTAGTTTACTGTTAAATTGTATTGGCTCTTTCTCAGAAGAAGGTCTTGAGAAGTTAACAAAATTTAACTTGTCATTTGATGAAGCTGAATTTGTCAAAAAGATGAAAATTAGATGTAAAATTGCATGTAAAAAGAATTCATTAACACCTATGAAATGGATAAATGATATTTTCAGTTATGCATTTAAAAACAATGTTAGGTATAAAATGGATATCATTATTGAGAAAAATTCAATTATTTAATTTAATTATTTTAGATTAGAAATATATCTTGATGATATCTCTACATGTCTAAAGAGCAACATACTTCATTCTGATACTCCAGCCTGGTTGATGGAACTGTTTGGTCAACTACAAGTCAAAGTGGCGGACAGATGTGAATTAACAGAGATTGAGTACTTTTCTGATATTTTATCCTTATCTGTTGTTTATTTTTCTGGTTTATCCATCTTACTGCCTAAATATGATTATACAAGTATAAAATATTTCTTTCCTGCAGCAATAGCCTTTATATTAGATGAATTTGCTTGGCATATGCATAGGAATCAAATATTAGAATGGCTTCATCATATGAATATGGCAGAAAACATTCCTAAAGAGTATAGAAATATATTTGGCTGGGCTCTATGTTCCTTAAGACATCTTGAAGAATTTTCAAAAAATTCCAAGTGGATGAAGTATTTTGATTGTAACATTCAGACTAGTACAAATAAAGTTTAATTACACTAGTATTTTTATTTTCTAATGTTTTAAATATTCAGATACTTGTTTTTTACAAAGTACTTTCTAAACTTGTTGACATAGAATAAATAACTTAAAAACTATTTATACTGATGTTTCATTATCTGTTGAAACTGCTACTGAAAGTGTGGTGGGTCTTGAATCTGTAACACTTAGTACTTCCTCTTCAGTAGAGTAATTTATGCTTGTATTTTTACCTTTATCAATAATAACTTTTCTCTGTGGTGTTCTGTTTGGTGAAGATTTTCTGCTGTTATAAGATTTTAACAATTTTGCACTAAAAATATGTTAATAAGTTAAAAATATATATATAATTTTTAAAAGAACTAACGCATCTACAAGTTTTAATAATAATCTATTATATTGCTGATGTTCTTCATCGCCAAAATGACTAGGATCATGACGTGCATGTTCATAAAAGTCACAAAATTGATGAATTAATCTCTGGCCACTGCCATTTAGCGGAGCAGCCAGTGTTGTTAATAGATATGCCCTCAAATTTTCACTAGGATGTCGAAATAAACAAGGGTCTTGCTTTGTTATTTCATTTTCTGCAGCAGAAAATAAATTACATTTGTTGATTTTTTAACAGTGGCAGCTCGTCCTAAAAGGTACAGGTCTACATGTCCACTCAATAACCAAGGCAAAAGAATTAGTATATAATATACACTTTATATGATCAAATAATGACGTCATTTCTAACATGAAAATTAGAACGATAGACTTCATGTAGTAAACAGATAAATTTTTGTCTCGTGGAGGCTGTACCTACTCTCCTTCAGAAATCTAGAGCCGCCACTCTTAATATTTTTTAAAAGTTTACCAAGTATTTTAACATCATCGACAGCTTTTAGCCTATAATAGTGAGCTGGTATCTGTTGTCCTGGACAAACAATATATCTGGGATCGGTTTTGCTTATTAACTTAGGATCACAAACAATTCTTGGTATTAGATCTAAACGTCTTTCTATTTCTCTTTTTAATGCCTAAAAGTTAAATTTAACTTTTTTAAACTTAAATGTACATTTCTAGGTTACTTTTGGACCATCATGACCAATAGGGACGTGCGGTCCTCTTCTTGATCTTAGTGTAAATCTCATTATCTGCCTTTTCGCAAAAATAAATAGTAATATTACTGTAAGAACTCCAAGTCCTATTATTATAACTACAGCTACCCCATTTAATTCTTCAGACATATTTTTTTGCTTTGTTAATTTTTCAGCGTAAGCATTCATTAGAAAAAATTTAAATGCTTTTTATAAATATAAGATATAAATTATTTTCTGTTATTTACAAGTTGTCTGTGTTATTTACTCGATTACCACAAAAAATAACTTTCTAGTGTCAATTGTCAGTTGTCAGTGCCGTCAGTGCTGTCTGGGAGGGAGCTTAGGGTGCAGCCACACTATCCTAAAAACGGCGTATCGGCGCAGTGCCTTCTATTAAAAGATCAGCCTACGGGCGAGATTTATGACGTCACGCTAGTTAGATATAACGGATTAATAAATATGTTGTAGAATACATGGAAAACATAATTATTCCTCAGATTTTTGGTTTGTATTTTAAAAATGATATAGTTTAAATGAAATATACATAATATACAGTTAATAACTACAACATATATACCTATTTATAGTAATAAATACTTTGGCAAATAAACTATGAACCATACAAAATGCAGCAAATGTTTTACAATGTACAAATAATGTATAGGTACATAAGATAATGGGTAAAATGTAAATATTATTTTAAATTTTGGGCTTGAAAATCGATCTAATTTTAACAAAAAACATTTAATATCTACTAATAGTGATGTATTATTATTTGCATTCACAAAATTTATATGTATATTTTGCAAGTATCAATGTTCGAAAATATTACAAATAATACAATATTATCTAAAAAAAAGGCGTCAGCGATGGCTAAGAAATGAAGAAGGCTGGCATTTTATATGTTAAATTATTCTAAAATTTTGATTTTCTTGGATTGGAAAACGCTGTTTCATTATTTGTTTTCAAAGAAAACGTTTCTGGCTAACTATAGCCTTCACAGTGTTGTGTCATATGAGAAAAATAGTGTCAAATATAATCCAAAAAAATTACATATACAATATAATTCACACTCATAATGTTTACTGCAATTAAACTAATAGCAAACTGTCAAAAGATGACCACATATTTTTAAAAATTATTATTCTTAACACTAAAATTATCTACATTGACTATGGAGTACGCAGTAAACATTATGTGCGTAGTGAATATTTTATATGCAATTTTTGGATTATATTCGACACTCATTTTTTCATATGACACAACACTGATGGAGGCTATAATGTTAGCCGAACCGTTTTTTTAAAAACCAACAAAATAATGAAAAACCAAATGAAAAATCAATCAGCGTTTTTCCTGAACCCAATTCCAAGAAAATCAAAAATTTAGAATATTTAGAATCAAGGTTCAAGAATATCAAATTTTCCAAGATTGTAAAATTCTAGTTAATTATTTTATGTGTACAGTTATTTAGGGAATGTCATCGATGTTCATTTCCAAGCCAACTAGACGCCGATTTTTTTCTGATGATACGGTATAATTCTTTACGTACAATGTAAATATTAGACCAATTAAAACAAAGAAATATGAATTTCTTTTTAGTAACACCTTTTATTCTTAAACTTAATTTTGTATTATGCAAATATACCAATTTTATTGTTATTTTATTCATATTGTATTCAGCTATCACTTAAATATTTGATATTAATTTGGTATTATAAATAATCAATACTATTCATTAAATTACATTGAACAAATATATGTTATGCTTAATATACATTATATATTATCAAACAAAAAACACATTCTTTCTTTTTAAACTGTATCAGTCTTGTCTTTACAAAAATCTTTTTAAAATTTGAACTCAAAATAATAATCTTTTCATGACCCTAATACACATATTCTTGTTTTTCCCTAGATCATAATACCTACTTACGTGTTTGAATCTATCGAAGCTGAATCCAGCAACACTTGGAGTGGAGATTCCACAATATGAATAAAATAAACATAATTGTCTAGTTTTCATTAATACCATCATGGGGAGCATATTATTTTAAATTTATTAAAGATATTTCAATAAAATTCTTGATTTATAACTGTACCCACTTTTCTTGCTGTTCGACACTTTAGGCTGCCTAGTATAATAACTATCCTAGTAACTATCCTTTCCACCAGAACACAACAAAGATGAGGCATAATCAATAACACACTCCACTTAAGCTTTATTGATGAATTGTTAGAGTCTTAAAAACACAATAAAAATCACGAGATAAGTAAAATGTATGGGCACTTTAGGTTAAATCACTTGCAACGTAATTTTTAAAATTTCTATTTTTTTTATAGTGAAACCGAGAGTGACCATATATCTGGTAGTAGTTTATGTCACTTCAACACTAAAATAATTAGTTTTTGCACTACAATAATAAATAATACCAAAAATCAAAGAGTTAAACCAAAAATCATCCGACAAAATATGAAACGGAATCTAACTGAATATCTAAGTATGTACAGCTGATGAAGTAAACAAAAGTCCGCCCGTAGGCTGATCCTTTTAATAGAAGGTACTGGATTTATGCATGGTGTACGATTTGAATAGATTTGCAATTCTGGCTGAAACATTCATCTGTCAGAAATTTTATCTGTCAAATTCATCTGTCAAAAATTTCAGCCAATAGAATTACTGAAAATCGATTCAAGGTCGTTACGCCGATACGCCGTTTTTAGGATAGTGTGGCTGCACCCTTAAGGGAGGGAGTGTCTGGTGCTGTGTTATCTGAGTGCAGCCCAGAGAAATAGAAGGGATCACAACCACAGGTGGATGACACTTCTTATGGGAGAACTGGAAATGGTTGAAAACTTGACTACAAGCGATTTTCTAGGAATCTTCCTTACCGATAAATTATTGACAAGAGTGACAGATAAAACCTTGACATTCTTTCAGTATAACTGTTCATCTCTTTTTCTTTCTAAAGTGTGCGTTGAAAGGAGACAAACAATTTTTTGCAACCCATAAATTGTTATTCGAACACCACTTTTTCCTTGTCGGGTCGTTGACGTCAGGGGTGACAGTAAACCGGAAAAATTGGAAACAGCGGCGCGGTCCTACCCAGGCAGAAAGCATGGCCTTCTAGACTGTCCTAGACAAAATCTGAATATTTCTATATGATTTCTGTCAATTTCTGTTACGGAACATTTTTATGCACGTCGGCGTCCTCTTCTTTTGTCTGTGTGTCAGCCATGTGTCAACTCCCCGAGGCCTCTGGCAAGGTCGGGCGCCATTTTAATTTTTGCCGTTTTAGATTTGATTGGAAGTTTGTTTGCGATATTTCGGCTGGAAATTTATAAGTACAAAGATGTTTTTGATATAAAGTTTCTTGTTAACACTTTAATAAAGTATATATAGTAATAATTACATGAAGAAAATGATGAAATCGACGTTTCTGGGTGTGTAGTAGGTATGGGCCATATTATATGTAAAATAGGTAATATATTAACTGTTTTTATATTTTTTAGCTTTAGATCCAAGGATCTTGGGATATTCTTTTACCAAGGATTTTTTCCGCATTCTACTTAAAGACTGATCGGTGATTTTGAGCAATTGGAAAGCAAGTTACACAAGGTAAATTATGATTATTGAACTATTAGCCTACATTAATTATCTACAAGATGAACAGAAATGCGTAATTACATATCACATAGGTACCTATGCGTATTTCATAGCAATAATGCTATGTATGTAGATTATTTTTTTGTAGATTATTTTTAACATACAAATGAGGTATTAGATGTATATGTATCATATTTTTTATTCATTATTTTCATTCAAGTCCTGTTTGATTTAATTCACAAAAGCCTTATGTACCTATATTTATGTTTTTTGGCTATTTTTTTTTTGATTCCAGGTTTTGGTGTAATTCCTTGCTGTCTTTTTCCTGCTTCCAGTTAGTTTTACGCCCGTGAAGCTGTGGAAACATTTATTTATATTCAAGTTTCTGTAAAGTCAGTGCACTGTTACTTTACTAATTACTTTTTAACACAACATTCTTGATGTTATTTAAATATTTTGATATTGATACAGTAGTTTATGTTTATAGCTCTTTTAATTGTGTTGGATTTGTATATTTTATATTGTTCTAAATTCCAAATAAATATTTTTGAGTAATTTTGTTGTATATTAATCACTAGAAAGAGTAAAAAAGTATATTAACCTCATTTAAACCTCCTGAACAGCCTCGCCACAAAACTGAAACGGAAATAAATTTCATAAAATTGAAATTGTCATGTCTATGTCATGTCAAATGTCCCAGCCGCCATATCTGAAAATTAGTTACCCAGGCAGCCACGCTGTTTCCATAATTTAACATTGACTTGACACTTCTTCTTGTATTTATTATTTTATGGTTGACGTTGACTTGTCGCCATTTTATTTCTTTTGTTTACACGCTGCAGTTTGCTTTGTAAATTGAATACATAAATTATTTAGGCAAATATAGGTTTTTGATAAAACTCCTTGGACTAACGTGTAGGTAAGTGTTGATAAATAAGTTTTTTTTCATCTTAACATGCTCATTGTCATTCTCTCCTGATTTAGGTGACAGAAAAGGATCATCAAATGAAATTGAATTTTATATTTTTTCAGGACCGATAATAAAATATATATTTTATGGATACCTTCCTAAATATCAACGAGATGAGCCATCGGAAGAAAGGGACCATAGTACAAAACAGAAAAGTGATCTTTTCTTTTCCACTTCTAGATATTGAAATTATTATATACTGTGTCGCAGTTATATTATGCTCTAGAAGTTATAGGTAAACAAAGAAGAACAGATATAGCATCCTTAGAGGAAAAGAGGCAAATACCTGTACTCTCTCTCTCTCTGGATATTTGTGAAAGTTACGGCAAAGAAAATGTCATCTTAATTCCACCTGAAAACTCTCTCGAGCAAAAGATGACACTTTCAACAAAAAACCTGACAGATATCAGAGACGATACAGCTTTTTTCCTCTTTTCCCTGGAATACTTTTAATTTATTATTCTTGTTTATCTAGATTTCTCAGAGCACTATGAACGAATCCCTTTGTATGTTTGAAATAATCGTCCAGTTGGCTTCAAAATGATGATCGATGACATTTCCTATATAATTTTACTTTCAAAATTATGATATATATCGTATTTCTAAGCCATCTATGACGCCATATTTTTTCAGTTTTGTTATAATTAATTTTGTCTCTTGATCTACTTGTAACATTATTTTTTTAATTTTATTAATTTATTGTGGTGAAATTAATTTCTTGTTGTATATT